TGGCTGGATTTTGTGTGAAAGCGTAAGTTGGAGCTAAGAAAATATGGCCTTAATAACACCCACAGGCTATAATAGCATAAACTTCCTGGCCTGACTCTGAGCAGGCCGATTCATGAATCTTTCTACATGTTAAATTGTTACCCTGAGATTACTAGTGTTTGAATTATTAGTACCTAAGTGGAAGCGATGAAGTGATCCCAGTATCAGTCTTCTCGAGTCCTTCACCTGTGCTCGCCTTGTATAGCAATTTAGTCCGATCCGTTCGATTGATATTGCGGTGTTCATGCAGTTAAACACGCGTCATCACCAATAAAGCTGAGAGAGCCCATAAGCAATATGAAGTGAATCCTGTGTTCTGACTGGCTATCTGTGCGGGCAATATGGGCCTATCTTGCTCGCTCGAGATTGCCCGCTTTAATCCCGTACAGAACAAAGAATTGCGTGGAGCGGACTTACAAAGTTTAAAATTTTCGGACAATGTTAGACGATGGAATCGTAACAAGCGGTAGACATAGTCAAAATAAAGGAAAAATTATCAAGTCATTCTTGATTCTTATTGAAACGACATCTTTTTGTTGTATAAAAGAATCCTTCACTAACCAAGCTTGATCGATCAAGATGGCTCTACATAGCCCAGTTCCTTTAATACGACTTAGTGAACACCGACTTCTCGGTCCATAATATCGCGAAAGGAGAATTCGGCCTATATTCATCAGCTATCTTGACCTCACGCTTGGTTAATTACGCATATTTTTACGGGTACCTTTAAAGTTTTCGGCATTTCATGCTATACAGTAAATGTGCTTGACTGGTTGCATGTATGTGCAGTACTGTATTGAATAAATGTCGACCGGAAATCAATATAAAATAACTGTTTGAGTGAAATGAAGATTGCATGTTTTACTCTGTTGGAGAGTGACTCTGATAGATTAAATATCAAGTGAGTGCCTGAATTTAAAGCTTCTGTAGATGCCATGTCTGAAATAAGTAAAGCTGTGAGTTAACACTCGGTAAACCTTCACCCGGCTTTTAACAAAGGTCAATTTTCTAAGCTAATTATCATGACACGCATTCTATCTATGCACGTTAAAGTATTTTGAAAATCATTTCTTCATCCGAACGGTCATACTTATCTTTTTGATAACAAGGGTTTTGAATGATACAGCGTCCCACATTCTTGCTGACTCTCAAAACATGTCTTCTTTTACAATTAATTTTGCTATTGAAAACTCACTGAGGTATTACATCGGTAATAAAATAAGATACAATGCTACTTTAATAAATGGTTAAGTGCTTTTTCTTCTAAAGGCATAGCATATCCCTCAATTATCCAAACGTCTGTCACTGATCAGCATTTTCTAATTTTGACCATCGCGTTTTGTAAAATTACCAGTGGAAAAACTCTACAACAAGGGAACACCGGTGATCGAAACGGGCTCCAGAGAGAGTCCTATGAATGTCCGCTCAACAGGTCCAAGAGTATAACAATGGCCATATATGGTTATCCTAACGTAGCGCTAATTTGATTAAAATGTATGCCGACTAAGCGCGTTAACGTGCACCTGATTCAATTTTTTGACTTTACAAGCTGTTTGACCCAACACGGTCATACACACGAAAGACTAAATGGATAGTGCTCACTATTGAATTTAATCAGCAGGTTTATTTAACAATTTTGAGCATGCATCACGTTGAATTAGCGTAATATCTGATATTTGGTCAGCGCGACTTCCATTTGTGTTCAATTTCTGATTTTGTTCAACATGTGTGGGAGTTTATTTGTGTTTTTGGGAAGAAAAGCAGTTAGGAAAAGTTTCCAAACAAGTAAATTAAGTTTGTTTTGACACCACCTTTGTTCTGGCGACTTTCTTCTTACAAATATTGCTGCTATTGCATTCATAACGCAAGTGGAAAATTGCTGAAAGGCGTTACTGCAGGCAATCAACTGATAATATCAAGAAAAATGAAGGAAAACTACTGGAAAGTTCTAAATCGGTTTCTCTGGCTATCGAGCGCTTCCAAATAACTCAGAAAGGAAATGAATGTCTGATTATTTATGGTTAGACAATAATCTTCTTTCAAAAATAACCTGCATTCGCGAAAAGGCTTTTACTTCAAGAGGATTGTTATTGTTTTTTTTCCAAGCTCATTGTATTAAATTTGGTTTTCAGGTTAATCCCAGTATTAGAAGTCTGACAAGTGAAAATTAGCTCACGAGATCGCAGAAGCTTTGGGGAAAAGCCTGTCGGAGACATTCTTCAAGTTAAAGTCAGCGTCAACCAGAATCATAGATCGGTTTGATTTTAAATTGAATACACTTTAGATTTACAGTTATCAAGAATTTCTATTTCCCTGATATTGGCTCAGTTATCAGCTTTCAAATGCTCTCAGGGTTTTAAATTGAGTGAGTTTAGTTTTCCATCCTTTTTATCCACTCTACAATCCAGATCGCTCCGGGAAAGCTTTATATTTGATTATCTCCGAACCAGAAAAGCCGTGAAAATGGTGTTGAAATTTACAAAAAACGCCAAAACTCTAATTCAATTACTTTCTCTTAATTCAATTATGAATAAAACCCGATGTAGCCCGACTTACTGTTTTAATCCTCGCCCAAGTTGTTTCTTGATGATTTCTAGTGGATAAGTATTACAGGTGACTTGCCATACAATGCAAATCTGAAGGATTAAGAAAAAGTAACTAAACCAAAATCTAACCCATGCTTCCTACTTACCTTAGGCGCCTCAAAGCTCTCCGATTTGTTTCTTTCCAAATAGATCTAACAAGAAGACAAATAAAAGGAAGGAAATGTAAAGAATGAATTTTTTTTAAAATATAACGATAGTGTTTTTCTTCACTTGTTATTAACACCTACGCAGAGAATTATAAAACTGCTGAAAAAGTGAGTATAGAGTTTAATATTTAATGTTACAACTATGATTGCAGCTGGTAAGTATGCAAATAATCTTGTTTCCGTAAATTTCTAGTGGCGCTTTAGGCCAAAATTTTTTGGTGGACCAATCTAGAGATCAAATGGACAAATAATAAGATGTTCTTCTTACACGGAAATTAACCTACGTTTAATCTTGATTGGGAATTGAACTTCTCGTGTGAAATTTATTGTTTACTTAATGCTTGTAGAGCGAGTCTCCGTCAATGATAGCACTATTTGTTAATCGTTAACGGGTACATGAATCCTACCGCATCTGCTAGTACCCAATACCATAACCACACTTTGCCTTTGATAAGGTTTTATGCTAATTTTTTCCACTTATATTGATTGCACAAAGCACAGTTCTTACTTTGGTGAATTTCTTTTGTACTACCAATTAATATCTTTAGCTTCGAAAAGGAAACCAGTTTGATCAGATAAAATTAAGCGTTAACTCTTTGTTTGACTGACAAAGTTTTATAGAAAAACAAGACAATTCGTGAATTTGTTTTAACTTTTTAATTCTTTTGAGATCGGCCACAACTATCAGATTTGATATTTGCCTTTATTGACTGACTTTGAGGGCCGATCGCTATTATCTAAGTCGGTGATAAAGTCTATGAAACGCAAGAGCTTAAGACTGAAAATTTCGACCAAAAGTGCTTCTCCCCTCCTCTCAATTATATTTACATTCAAAGCTAAATTTTCACACGCCATTAAAAATAACAACCCCTTATACCTAACGCCCATACCAAAATCAATTCGAGATATTGCAGAATTTTGAAAATAAAACTAACCTGCTAATTGACCCGGCGTGCCATTATGAACTATTCGGCAAAATGTTAATCTTTTATTTGAGCACTTTCCTATCACATTTCAGGGTCCCTCAAACTTCAAACTTGTCTGTCGTATTCCCTCAGTAGTTAAGATACAATATAGTATCTTAAAGGCTAACGCAAAAACAAAACACTTTGCTAAGTGTCTGGGAAAATAACCCCCGTCGGGAAACCGACACATTCACTAGGGGATGCTTAGGGCTTGCGGGCCCGAACACGCCGGAAATGGATCTTTCAGAGCCAGAAATAAATGGATTAGGAAACCTATCAGTAACAGTACCTATCAGTAACAGAATAGGAATTTAGCTGAAAGTAAAAGATGGGTCAAAGCCGTGGGAGGAGACGGCGCGATGAAACGCCGCGGAGTATACAGGAGAATATAGAGAGTGCAAAAGAAAGAAAAAAACATGGAAAATGGGGACACAAAATCACCGTGAAAGTAGACACTCGCAGAAAAAATGCTTCGCACGAGCTGCCACAGCGAGCAATAATGTCAGTTATGCTTAATAGCATTGGTTTCTTTCAGCTATCAATAACTGAATCTATCCTTGAGTAGCCTCTGAGAGTCTCCTGAACTCTAAGAGTCTGAGAGCCAAATTTAAATATGGTAAGTGACCGAGGGTATTATTGTATCCTAAATATGGTAATGTATAGATATAAATAGCACCATACGTTTCTATTCAGAGTTACGGATGTCCTTTTTCAAGGTTTGTTTTCCATTGTAATACAATGGAATTATAGGCCGAGGTCCAAGCTTTGAAGTTCCCTTTTGGTAAAGAGAACTTCTCAGTTACAATATTCTAGCGATGGACTTTGAATAAACGACCCTTAAAAAAATCATTTTGAACATTTCCGTTTTTATATTCTGTAATCTTATCTTGAAAAGTTTAAGTTATTGACGCATGCCAAACAAAGGTCGAGGCAACCGGAAATAGCAGTGTTTATATGTTAAATTTTGCGGTCCGACGTGCAGCTATTTGCCAGACAGAACTTCAAAGCCGACATATTTTCCCTCCAAAGCGGTTCTGGTCAATAACATTCACTCAAGACAACAAATCCTGCAACAATTCATCAAAAAGAAATTTGTTCCGTTTATTCCAATCTATTCAACGATATTTCTGAGTGGGTTGGCCAATTTTTTTAAAATTTGCTTACCGTTCTACTCAACTTTCCTGTCTATTGCGAAATATCATGCAACTTCCGGCACCTAAAATAGATGTGTTTCTGACCCAGTCTTTTAGGTTGTTGCTCGAAATTAAACATGGCGGCTTGGTAATATTTCACGGGCTCAGCATATTTTAATTCATCGTTCTCGCTAGCTAGAGTGATAGCGATAGTTATCGTCTTGTGCGAACTCTTATAGTGTTTTTACAAGCATTAAGTCATGTCATCGAGTAATAAGTTGTTGTTTAAGTTACCTCCGCCACTAAAAGCGAAGACCACTCTCATTACAAACGACTATGACCTCTCGCAAAGGGTTTTAGGTGTGGGAATTAATGGGAAAGTTGTAGAGTGTTTTGAGAAGAAATCAGGAAAACAATACGCCTTAAAGGTGAGTAAAACTACCATGATTAACTACCATTAACTGAGTCAACGTTGTCAGGATTTGTTGTTCTTAGCATTGAAAATGCACGTTTTCTTAGGCGATCTTAATTGTGATGTTGAAAATCAATCGTGTGGGCGATGCGGTTATCTGTACACCGTATGTTCTCCATTTCTTTGCATCCGATCGTTTATTTCTTCGCTAATTCGTTTTCGGTGCATTGAACGGGAACTTTGTTCGATTCGGATTACGTAAGTCTTGTAGTCTTTCCATTACATGCAGCTTGTTAAAAAACTTCATATTTTGGTAGTTTCCCGTCAGATTATTTTCACTTACATGCATGAATGTACATAGTAACGAAAGTCACTGTCGGGTTGTTTTTCCTTATCCATGCATATGAATTGGAAATAGAAAATTGTGCGACTTCAGAAATCTTCGAGAACAAGGCAGAACCCTTGTTAACAGCAATATAGTCTTCATAGGATTGATCAGAGTAATTGTACATATTGCACGTACATTGCCACAGTGTCAAAAAATTGCATGCACAGTAAAAATGATATCCGTCGCATTTTTTAACAGTTTTGTGTGGGACTAAGTCCTGAAGGGTGGCCAGAACCTCTGACACAATTTACAAATATTTGAATCTGGCGATTCTTGTGTGCAAATTTCAGTAAAATTTCCGCACAGCCCCATACTACATTATGCATTCAGTTCTTGGATAGAGAAAACAATGTCAAAAAACAATAGATTGCAATTGGGAAAACAGATTTGTTTTACAATAGTATGGGGCTGTGCAAAAATTTTACCCGAATTTCTTATAATTATTTGCAAGATGTCATTTTATTTAATCTACACTGGTATGCTCTTGAACTAGTTTAAAGTTAACCTGACATACATCGGTCCTCAAGCTTTGTGCTATTTTCTCAAGTTCATGTAGCTTCTAGTTAATGAGTATAAAGCTATTTAATATTCTCATTAGATGGATATTATATAGTCATTGAAATATACGATATAAGTATATTGAAGTATAAATATCAAAATACAGCTGCATTTGGTTGAATGATATAGGTAAGATGTGATTTTTTTACGTAAGACAGGAACAGGGAAAGGTGGTGCAGGGTGTGAAATTGATTTTTTTTTTCTGATAGCCACTTGGCTCCTAAATTATTCAAAGTGGTAGCCAATTCGAAAAAAGTTGGTCGCCATTTTCAAAGACAAACAAACCCTTTTTTTTACGCTGTCATTGTTCTAGAAATTAAGTTAAGTTAACGTGCTACAAAGTTGACAATAGAATGGATGATATGCAATGTTCAAGTTCACCTAAATCCATCCTAAATCTAGTTATTGATTGAGATGCATGTGTTGCGTTTTGGAAACAAACTTAATGAGGAAGTTTGCCGCAGATTTATCTTTGCAAATCTTTTTAATTTACTATATCTCTAGGTAAGGTTATGATAAAACATTCTAGTCGCCAATTTGGCAACTAATTTTCAGGATTTGGTTGCCAAAGTAAAAAATTTAGTCACATTGGTGCCTGTATTAGACACAATTTCACGCCCTGGTGGTTGTGTACTCACCTTTATAAGATGGTTACCTCCACAAACTGATATAATTGTTCTTGTCATTCCCTGCTGTTTTACTATGACAGTACTTTTCACTAGGTCTTCTGAATACAACCAAAATGAACTGATTAGTCATTACAGGAAATGAACAATGATTCCAGCAACCAGTTGTTTCATTGGCACCAATCAATGCTTAGGATTGTGTATGTGTCATGCCTGCATATTTGGGCAGTATATGTTGTGTGTGCTTTTTGTTGTCACTTATTTCTCAGAGTTAACTGTGAAATCAAAAAACCAATGGCTAGATAGTTTCTCAATAATTTTGATTATTTGGTAACATGACTTTGTATCATTCAATTGTTTGTAAACATGCTGGTAAGTAAAATCGGACTCCTGCTTCATGGTCGTCAATCATTTATCATTACAAACCAAATTGTTCTCTATTCAGTGCTATTGCCATTACCTATTATCTTTATTGTGATGAAATATCTGTTTCCTTGTTTGCTAGTCACAAGAAGTTCGTATTCTTGTTACCTGTTTGCTGGATAGACACCTCTTTTGACCTTTGTTGCCAGTTCTGAAATTTTTTATCAGAATTCACTCTCGGATAAGCTGTGTTCAATTGTTATGATGATATAAATTTCAATTCTGCATGATTATCTACATTTTATCAAAACTCTAACTAGTCTTTTGATATTTTGAAGGTTCTACAGGACAATGCAAAAGCTCGGCGTGAGGTGGAACTTCATTGGAAGGCAACAGGATGCCCTTATATTGTTGGTATCAAGGATGTTTATGAAAACAAGTATGCCAGGAGTGATTGCTTACTGGTCATCATGGAATGGTAATTTTTTTCATTTCAAGGATCAAAATTGAAGAATTCCTAACCCTAAAGATATTAGAGACTTTGAAACTTTTGCTTCTTTTAGAAGATGTCCTAAAAGTTTTTTTTCTAAATTGATAGATACTAGTATGCTAATTGGTGGTTTGAATGCATATCGCTTATATATAAAGGTTTCTTTATTTATTTATTTATTTTAGTAAGGAGGCCTCCTTGATATAAGCCTCATGGTTTCTGGGGGCCCCCTTGCCATCTATTAAAAATTTGTTTTTGAAAAAGTAAAAAGTACTGTAAACTTATTAATTTTGTGATATAAACACCTTTCTTTTTAGGAATGGCGAATAGGATTTGTATTGTATTGTATAACTTTTGGTAATCATTATTTTGTTTTGTGGCAGTTTTCAAATTTGAGGACTTAACTGTTGACCATTGTTAGAGTTTCTGTGCTGAGTGGGTAAAAACCAAATGACACTCACACATATATGATGAGTGTGTTTCTACAAAACAGCAGGCAACCTTCTTTCTCATATTAGGCTACTGAGCAAAGCATCAGATAACAAATACAGTCTTTTTAATTAACCCAATTGGGCCATAATTTTTATGATATCAAGCCAATTTTGCAAAGTTATTTTTTTAATCTGAGAATTGGAAACTTAAATGAAAAATTGAATCGGAAAATTTGAATTGAAGTCAAAGCTTGAAGGTTTTTAAAATTTATTTGGATTTTTTGCTAATTATTTTGGTGGCCTAATTATACACATATGTATGAGAGTCATCCCAAGGAGACATTGTTGCAATTTTAAAATACTGTGTTCCTCAAATGAAAGGAAAATTCACAGTTTGATGGCTCTCTGCTTGATAAGCCTTCACATACGCATACGATGTGAGAGGATTCGAGCGACTCAGCCTCCTGATTTGCATTTTCACACTGAATAATTGTTTTCTTGTAGCATGACTGGTGGAGAGCTGTTTGAGAGAATTCAACAAAGGGGCGATTCTCCGTTTACTGAGAGAGGTAGGTGTGACAAAGTGCAGATTTATTGGTGATTTCATGCTACAGGAAAGAATAAGTCACAGCATCAGTGTTCTTAAAGCTACAAATTGTTGTAGGTTGAAAGTGCTGATAGTGTACAATTTATTGAGATGTTTCCCACTTGCTTTTTCAGAGGCAGCTGCCATTGTGCGGCAGGTCACTATAGCCATTGCTCATCTTCACTCACTTAACATCGCGCATCGGGACCTGAAGGTACAGTGTACCATAATATGTACTGATCTAACATTTAACATAAAGCATATTGTGAATAACACACTTTGAACCCCATTGGTATTCACTTCATTTATTTTTTTTATTTTTTTTTTTTACAGCCTGAGAACTTGTTGTATTTAGATCGAACTCACAATGCTCTGCTCAAGCTGACAGATTTTGGTTTTGCCAAGGAAACAACAACTGGCTTGGATCTTAAAACTCCTTGTTACACTCCTTACTATGTTGGTAAGTTTGATCTCTAAAAGCCCTGAACATCCTCGTACTGAACTCCCATGAGTGACCAAGACAGAATTTGTCCTTGCAATATCAATACAATATCAAGGAGACAAGTGATGAGAAAAAGAAACATATCAGTTAGGGGATTATTACTATCCAATACAAAATTCTCTTTATTTACATCATAAGAATTTTATGGCAGGCCAGTTGGGAGAGTTACTAATAAGATCTTAAGAGTGAAAGGGTTAATATCATAGATTATCTGTGTTCCTTGGAGACTAAGGTAGTATTTTCATCTAAAAGTTTAAATCCGGTCACTTCATAATTTACAAAGTCTTTACTTGATGTACAATTATATGCATGTAGCCAGTGCACTGTTTATGACTTTCCAAGTTTATTATCGGTAAGCAACAATTTTGTTATAAGAGAGATTAAGAAGTAGCTTCACTTCGGCCAAAAGCGAACAGAACGTGTTTTCTGCCTTTCCACTGTTTTTTTTGCCAATTAATTGAATTTAAACTCGTTCTGTTCAGAAGGGAAATCAATAGTATCGCGAGAAAGATTTCGGTATAACCCCATGCTTCATTGTACGTGACCGTGAAAGCAGTTATGCAGTTATTTCATTAATAAAAACAATGGTGGAAGTGACAGTTAACCTTTTGGACTTATGCTTTGCTTGAGAATAATATGCGGTTAAATGGAAATCTTTCGTCTCGTCTCAAGAAGCCAGTTCCTTGCCTCGGGGGAGAAAAATTTAATAGCTGTGAGCATCTTCAACTTCTGAGTATTGTCACAGACATAAAACGTGGGATACTGTTAATTTACATGTAAGTAAGGGCACAATTAGCGACTACTAATTGTCACTTTTCTTGGTCCACCACATTCAGCACCTGAAGTGTTAGGCCCAGAGAGTTATGACAAGATGTGTGATTTGTGGTCATTAGGAGTCATTATGTACATTCTGTAAGTATTTTTTAGATGAATTTTTCTCTGGATATGATAGCTTATGTTAATACAGTTTGAAACAGGAAAAAGATTTCGAATTATTATAAAATTGAATCACAATATATGCTTTTAACTTCGTTTGAGATATTGCGACATCCATTGAGGTACACGTACATTAAAGGTTGCGCCTTATTAAGTTTGTCTGTCTTTTGTTTATTTGTAGCCTTTGTGGGTTTCCGCCTTTCTATAGCAATCACGGAGCAGCCATTTCTCCTGGAATGCGGAAGCGGATTAGACAAGGCCAGTATGACTTCCCTAACCCAGAGTGGAGCAGGGTGTCTACACAAGGTATGGATGGGAATAACGTTTTACTCACCCGTTTTTCCTTTTCTTTTAAAAAGTCCTCATCGAAGACTAGAACATTCGAGAATAGCTGTTTAGTATAGTTACGTAATGCTTAACTAGCCAAGAATACCAGACACCTTAACCACCCCTCCCCATCTTATGGGAATCATCGCTCCAGTCAGGCCCTCACTGTTACGGTCTATTACCACTGAGCACGAGCGTTTCTTTTTTCGCGGGAAAGTATGAGTCTTTGAGCAACGCGAATGAGAGGTCTGCTAGGGGTCTGGCACTGAAAACTCTCCCCGGCGCGTCTCAAAACTTCCCGTGGGCGGAAAAGACGCGCGTTCTGGAGCGCATATAATCAGCACTTGCTTGCAAGCTGGTCCAGTGTATGTTACATTGTTACCTATAGGGTTGGGAAACTGTTTTTTAAAGCAAATCAGGAAAGTCATTTAATAAATAAAAAAGAATACTTTAGAGTTTTTAAATTTGAAAAACGAAATAAGCACACTACTTCGAGTCAGAGCTCCCCTACTGACTTTCGCGAAACCCAAGTTAACGTTATATATGTGTCATAGTCGTTATTTACTTTTTAAATGAGTGAACAATTTTTTTGCAACAGCTAAGGAATTAATAAGAGGCCTTCTAAGGACAGATCCGCAGAACAGGTTCACTGTGGAGCAAGTTATGAACAATCCTTGGATTAAGGTATGTGAAGAAGACTACTTTTATGCGATGGAAACTCGTCTGTTTTGCTCTGACTTTGTGCCCTTTTCTCTCAAAGTGAGTCACCCAGGGCCTGGGTAACCTGCCGGCATATCAATTAATGATGTGAACTTCTTTACAGCAATAATACATCTAAGACAAGAAATGATAATCTCTAGATCTAAGACTGTTTGCCCTCCTACTTCGTCGGCTCACACCATTATTTACAACTAAGCGAGGAAGGGCAAAGCAAGTGTGCAAGAACGCTTACTTGATCTGAGAGGAAATTTTGCGTCTTTTGCCTAGCGACTTAGAGTTGCATGATGGCTTTCGCTAAACCTTCATGTAGACGATACTTCAGTGCTGAGACATTTCATCAACTCGGGTAGCGACGTAAAGTTATAATTTCGAAGTCATCGTTTCGGTTTCTTTTTCTTAAAAATACGCTCGAGAGTTTCCAATGACTCGCAGACAACTGATTTCACTTAATTTTTAAGATTTATTTTTTTTCTTTCTACAGGCTTACACAGAGGTTCCATCCACACCACTGCACACGGCAGCTGTTTTGAGGGAAGAGGAAGAAAACTGGCAAGATGTCAAGGTAAGGAGTTCTTTGTCATGTGAAGAAGTTCTTTATCTCAACCGATCGTAATACTTCATAGGAGAACTTTGCGTGACAGCCATAAAAGCCATGACCAGAACGAAATGCATTTGGAGTGGTATAGAGTCGTAGTGTTAGATAAGTCCCCACTACAATTTCTTGGTGTTATCGATAGCCTTAATAACAAGAGTAAATTTTGGTAATTGATGAAATTTGATCTACGAGGATTTTGAGATGTGGCGATTGTTCTTCGCGCAACATCACCCAACGGAGATGAACGAGGGAACTAGAGTGGTTTGAGTCCTGTCTTCCTTTTCTTGTGTCCTAATTCAATAATAGGTGTCCAAGTTGTAAATGAAACTATCAGCCTACCTAAACGGCATCTAGTCTTGCATTCACGAATGAGTTCTATTTTCTGGTTTTCAGGATGAGATGACAAATGCCTTAGCCTCCATGAGATTTGAGCCTGACAAGGTGACCAAGCTAAAAGATGTTGGCAAGTCAAGTAACGCATTGTTAAAACGAAGAAAGAAGTGATCTTCAACACGGAAGGAATGCACAGTTCATGTAAAAACTAGTTCCATTTGGAAGAAACAGATGTCTAATAAAGGTCGCCCGTTTTCCTTTTAAATTCGCGCCGAAAATATTCCCAAAAAACACACTTATTACATTGCTTCGTAAATTGTTGTGTTATATCTGTGATTGATCGTTGCTAAGTTACTTTTCTTGTTTTTAACCAATCAGCGATGACGGGAAAGACGAGCATGCAACGAGAGGTCAGCGGTTGAGCGAATGTTCTTTTTCAGAGAGGTAGAGAGCAGAAGTATCGCTGCCTCTGTTGATTTAATTGCTGTGTTCAACTCAACCTCTAGCTTTGCTGATTTTCATTTCACCAGTTTATGATTACTTTCTGAGAAAAAGGAACGAAATAAAAAAGAAAGAATTAAGAAAGAAACGAAAAGAAAAACTATAAGCTTTTTATCTGCACCAACTGGTATGAACCGGAAGTGTATCGTCAAACCTGACTTAGTTATCTCTTTTAAACACTCTTCATTACTTCACTCGTTTCCTCTCCTTCAGAAAAAATTAAGCGAAACGCTGTTAATATAATTGCATCTCATTCATTTAATTTACAATCCTGGTCGAGAGTCCTTTCGGTACGTACTCAATACATTACCTATACATATTTATGCGCTGTTAGGGCCCTAACAATGGTTACACTCCCTCCCTTTCCAGAACCAATGTTGTCAGCAATCAAAGAGGATAAAATCAATATTGTCCGGGGGAAGGAGGGGAGGAAAATGACGTGATAAAGACGCGTTATTTTCCCTTGCGTTTGTGTAGTGTCCGAGGACTCTTGGCCATGATTGATTTTTTTTTTGTAACTATTACTTAATGATGTTGAAAGAAATGAATATTTATATATTTAGGAAGGGTGCTTTAATTGGTAAAATTCGTAATGTTTTGCCTTTTCGGTCTATCGATAGCAAATTGTCCCATTTCATCCAGTTATCATAATTCAACAGAATCCAGACTTGATGTTTTGTTAATCAGCATGTTGCACGCTTGCCCGATATTTGTGGGTGTTTTCCTTGAATAAAGTTAAAGAAAAAACTGAAAGGAAAGGCATTGAAGCTTTATTAACATCAGTTGTCATCGCGAAGAATTTTTAGAAGTTAAGTTCATTATCTCAATCTTTCCACCCTAATATCAGTAAACGTATTCGTCATACTGTTTTCGATACATTTACATTAGATGCCAGTCGCTATTACGGGCAAAAGGGTTAATTAAAAAATTTGAATTGAACTGATCAAAATGATTCGCAGAACCGAATACTTATCACTTTTAATGAAAGTGACCTGCTGTTAACAGATTTCTGACACATATGCGAGTGAACTTTTTCTGAGCACACTTCGAATACACCGAAAATAACTTGTACATAGTTGTTAACTAAGACTATGGTAGAGTGGCAGCTTCTTACTCGTGCACCAACTTTTGTGAAACTCTAACACCCAAGATCTGAATTTTAATTCTCTCCTCTAGCTGCTACACATTTTCCTATGAATTAGTCATGAGAATTTGTTGTCAGATCATGATAGAAACTCCTACCAGCTAAGTTGGAACACAAGTTGATCATTTCTGGGGGTTAAGGAGTTCATTAGATAATATATCAGGGACCTTAAGCAAACCACAACGGCGACGACAACGAGGACCAGGCAAAACAAAAGATCTAATGTGCAGAAAAATAACTTATCACGTGCGTTTTAAAACTGTGTACATTTCTTAGCCGTCCTCTGCAAAACAACAACGTGAAAACACCAAATGCATCAAATGTTGCGTCGTATCCGTGCGGAAACCGCGACAGGAAATTATTTTTATTTCCATTTGGAACTCAACGCTGCTTATTTGCGTATGCTGAAGTTGACGTGTGGCGGGACGCGTGCGGCCATTTCCGAAATTCTAGCTTAAAAACTGAAATTCATTTTTTTATCGACGTCATCCATAACGTTGCCGTCATGACTGATTAAAGTCCCTTTTGATGAATGGCTTAATACTTTTCTTGAACCTGCATAAAAGCCTATTAAAGGCATTGAAAAAACTCATTATCAGTGATTTTACCACACTTTTAACTGTAATTTGTGTTTTAGTAGTTTTGTTTTTCGAAGCTTTCTGTTTGATGAGTTAAATTGCAGTGCACCTATTGTAATCAATTCTTTGTCAATTTAATGTTATCTATTGCAGACTTTCCAGATTTGTGGTCGGATATGAGGTGTGAGATTACTGAACCTCAATAAAATTGTTATGATAGATAAGCTGATTGCAGCGGGTGTAAATATATTTTAAGCAGTTATCAGATGAAGTCGAGCAAGATATCATGAATTATTAATGCCGAGGTGTGAGTTATCTGCCAAAGACGGAGGCTGAGACAGATAACACAGACAGGACAGTTCTCTCTGAGTTTGCTAAAGTCTGAGAACACTACACGAACGAGGACCTAGGCCGGGTTTGGAAAGACTTTGAACTCAACATAATGACCCAATATTGGTTTATGATGTAAACTTCACACGCTACTGTATATTGACTGAATGCTCTCGATCAATCATCAGTGTTTTCGTAGTAACTCAAATATATAATATTAAGGGTTTGCGCCACTACTCTTGGCGCGATCTACGCGGAACGAGATATAATTCAAAAGTGAATCTCGCCGGTGGTCAGAATGTGAACCATTTTGGGTGGTTGGAGAAAAATCAAGGAAAGGGCCCGGAGTTTCACATGCTTCAATCTCGGCTTACGATCACCACCACTCTGAGCCATCATGAATAACTTTTGTTCATCATTTCTTTTAGTCTGTTCTTACATTTCTTTACTATGCATTGTAAGGAAATTTAGTGGTAAAACTATCACAACTTACCCTCTTTAAAACAGGCCTTACCGTTGTTTTGCAAACGCGCGCTCGAAACCATCTACAGCTAAGCCTCCGTAAGATTAAGCTAAACGCTGATTTTTCTAAAAAGTGTTGAGAACGCTTGTAGCTAATCCTGGTAATCTTTTGTTTACCCCAGTTAAACCAACCGATGAAATAATCATGAGGTCCAGTTATTTTCTACAGCTGCACTCTAAATTAGTTTTGAACACTCACCCTCTTTCGTTAGTGTTTGCATCGCCAGTTGGTAAAAGGAAATGGTACGATTAATCACAGCAGCGAACACGCGCGTGTTTCATGTTCGTCAACGAGATCGGGGAAGCTATTTCAAAAATTTACTTCGTTGAAAGGTAACTTACTATGAGATAACTTTTCCCCACCCACCCACGAATCTGCTGCCACGTGTTTTACCAGCTGGAAGTTCGTAAACTCTGGTTCATTTTCAGTAGAAATTTTCCGTCAAAGAGTGATACGTGTTGGAGAGGAATGTTTTCACAGAGACGACTCCATACTTGAACTTAGATATATGTTGACACTGGACACGCTATGTTTTGTTTTAATGTTTACTTTTTGGGGTCCATTCTTCATCTTAGTACTTGTATATGTCGGGTAGATTTTAATTACCTCGACAGATATATGTAAATCTCCCAAGCCAAAAATTCGCTTCGCTTTCTCTCAGAATGCAATGGTTATATCACAAAGTAATGGGAGATGTCTCGTGCAAAATTTATTGCTACTCTAGGCTTTCTTTCAAAAATCTCAGGAGAAAAAAGAAAATTGTAGACACTGATGTTTTAAAATTGACCCCAACTCAAATGTTTGTCTTTGTAGTGGTTTCGTTAAAGTTTCGCCTCAACATTAATAGGCTGTTTTTGTTCAGCTTCCATGAAGGGAGTATTCAGAGTTGATTTACGAGTTAAGAACACGCTTTTGAACATAGGAAAATTCCACTTTCCTACGTTGGTTAATCTACACGGAAATCGAGTGCGAAAATCTGTACTTACAGTGAACAATATTATCGGGTTGATGGCATGTTTGGCATAATATAGCGCCATGAAAAAAAGATCGATCCTTCCAAAAAATGGATGGGTCGTTAGCTCGCGCGCGAATTCGTAAAGGAGCATTAACACACCTCTTGGTATGTAACAAACTTGAAATAGTATCATCATAAGTATTGTCACCCGAATGAGCTTACGTTTTTTGCTCTTTCTTTTAACGCTTCCTCTCGTGGAGCCACTGAAAGATCTCTCTAATCCTTTGCGCCTTAGACAGTGAACTACACGAGAATATGCGTATGTCTGGAGGAGGAGTGGCAATATTATGAAAAAGATCACCAAGTAAGACTCATAGATTTGTCGAGTAATGTCTGATGTAAACGTTGCCAAGCATCGTGGTGTTCCTTGAATAGTATGCAAGTTGCAATGTAATGCAATTGGTAGTCCTGTGCTCAGGTATGAGACAATCCAAATGGAAACGGAGGCGATTGTTATCGTTCTCAATGTTAGCTTAGGTTTGAACGGTGTCAAGACAGCTCTGTGTCTCTCCCACGCGATCAAAGTGTAAGTTAGCACCGACACCACGACGAAAACATCTTGAGTTGGTGCAAGAATCTGGCAGGCTAGTTCTCCAAGAGGCCATCCGTGGTACACTTCAACAATCCGCATAGGTGCTCCAATGAGAACCACACAGAGGTCAGCAGATGCGTTGTTGACGATCAGATAGTTACACGGTGTTCTCATTTCTGGCCAACGGAGCGCGGTGTAAATCAACATTAAATTTCCGATTAAACCCACACTTATGATAGCAGTGAACAATGGTGGAGCAAGCTCTGTATAGCTGGATATCGAGTCAAATTGAGTTACGTTTTGCGGGTGCGTAAAATTTCCTCCCTGCATTCTGGTTGTGCGTCGAGCGAACTCAACCGGTGACTTTTAACGCCAGAGGGAACTGTCCAACAAGCAGAATGATGTGCTGATATAAGTTCTTTATCTAACAACCATGCATCTTGTATTTGCAGCTGTGTGTCACCACCTGCCCATTCAACACAAAGAGAATCATTTGATCAGTGTAATGCTTGTCAAAAACATAAGAGACGAAATTAAAGTGGCGCACCTCAATTATTATTTCTATTGGCTTAAAACTGTTCCATAGATCTTTGACACTTTTAATCAATCAAAATTGAGTCTCGGTGGCTGAAAAAATGTCTAGTTGTGTGTTTTAAAACAATCCATTTTGTGCAGCGGCACATTTGTCTCTGTTAGAGACATTGAGTCCGTAAAAAAAGAAAATTTATTCTGCTGCGTATCCTGAAATACATACTGCAAATCGTAAGAAATTACCCACAGCTTAACTGAATAGCCAGTCGGTATCGTTGACTAAAATGGTCCTCGCCATGTTTGCGTTGGATTATTGTTCTGATCAGCAAACATGTTATCCAAGATTTGTTCCCATGCAGAAAGTAGAAAATTTAAATTATCCTCATGTTCGCTTTTTAACCTTTCTGAGAAAAATGTAGCAGAACATGGAGCTCCTCTTCCACAATAAATTAGGAAAAAATAAATTAGGTAAAAAAATTCTTTGGACTTCAATGTATCACGTATTTCCGTCCATTTAACTGGTCATAAAGCCATCATGTCTTGATCCAACATTGAGATCTGAACAAAAGGTTATGAAAATGGGATTTGTACTCTCTAGATTCCGCCATCCCTTTACATTTCTACTCAAGAAGAAGAGCTATTTACGTTTCTTACTTTGAGGCCATGTCAAAATTCGTGTACATCATCGGACTGCTATCATTTCAGTACCTTGATTGGAAACTAACAAGGTTAAATTATTTTGTCCCTGCATATGGATTTATTCGCGTTTCATGATAAATGAAAAGAAACAATTATGATCATTAGAATTTTGCAATCTAAATTGTTTTTCGCTATTTCACGAACTTTGAGCAAACTTCAGTCTTAACGTGATTTAGTATGCAAAGAGCTTTTTCATTTCTACCGGAAAGGCGGCAAATTCATTTACCTCCGTAGACTGATAGCAGAAGTATCCGGAACGTCTGTGTGGAGATATATCATTCTATTTCTGTAAATCTATCATTTCATTACACGAAATCAAAAAGAGAACGAGATCTATCTGAAAAATGCCACATCAAGAGGAAATTATCGTCATGTTTTACGTATCTGTAAAGAAACCTTGAAAAAAAAAGTTTGGTCGCTAATTACTAAATTCGACAAATCCTTGCAATAAGTGCTTGTCCTGCGTTTACGGAATTTGGCCAAATAAAGATAAAATTTATTGCTCCATAGCCGAATCAATTGTTCACGGCTTTTGTCATGTGTCACATGTTGGAAACACATAAAGCATTCTTTAATATTTAAGGCATTGTAAATATTTTACAGGGCAAACAATGTTGTCTTTGCACTTTTTTTGACTGACAGGCAAATGAGGTTATCCGCAAACAAAGAAGAACCCACGCGAAACAAATGAAAGGTTTTGAAAGGCGACGAACTTCAATCTTGTTTTTCTCGTATGCTCCTCGATCGCTGTTTGAAGTTTCTACTTGATTTGAATTAAACATATAACTTCAGTCATTAACTCAGGGAAAAGCTAAAAGGCGCGATGTTCCAAAAACGTCGACAACTTAAAAAAAAAAAAATAATAAAAAATACGTATTTAAAATGAAGCTACAATTCCAAATAAGGAAAGGATATTGCTAGGCCAGGTCATTACAGTCCGAATAAGTACCTTAAGCGATTTGGCATTTGTCGAATTCACCAGTTGATAATTTTGACCCCTGAATTGTAACGATATAATAAAAATGCAAGAAAAAAGCTTACGTTGAGACTCGATTTATCGAGTTATTTCCCCGCTGTTTCATCTTTCACTATCCATACAAATAAAAATAAAGTAACAGCAGAACAAGAAACGTATAAAAAACATTTCCTTCACGATAATTTTAGATTCCAAAAAATCGGAAGCACTTAAGCAAAGGAAAATAAGAAAATTTTCAAGCAAATCTTTGCAAAAAAAATATTTTAGTTTTACTTACCCTGAGGCAAGTGTTGTTGAAGAATCGTCTGACTCAGTCTAGAAAAAATAGCTACGTTCAGTATCTAGGATATATTCACGGTAAATATACGGACTATAGGGTCTGTGGGCAAATGCATGAGATACGATCTGATGAATGTATATTTTGGTGGTGTAGGGTTCTTAAGAGGTTTTAAGTCTCCAATCAACACAAAGCATGTATTGCAGGGTGTCCAAGAGCTATCATATAAATATCTCGCAAAATGCGGCTGACAGCTTAAAGCACCAGCACAGGTGACTGAGACACCTCGCAGCTCAACAAAATTTTACCCAAGCACGTACGATAACAAGAAAATTGAGGGGCTGGTAATCCTTGTCTGAAGGCGGTAATTAATGGCAAAAAAAAGGCAAAATAATCTGCAGGAAAACTGCCAAGACTTACCATCGTTGAAGAACGAGCACTTCTGTCATAGACCCGAAACGAGGGGAACGTTCCTTTTCACAAAGGAAGGGCCATTACTTATTTGGCATGAAAATTTGGCGGGAGGTTTGTTTTGCAGATTGGTTCCTATTTGCGTCTTAAAATTTTAGATGGGATTAACTAAATTTTTTTTTATTTCATGTTTGAGAAGCAGAACATGATTAACCGTTTAACTCCCAGAAGTGACTAACATATATCTTCTCCCTTTGATATCCGTACATAAACCAGCAAATAGATTGTGAGAATAGTCAAACTTATCAGTTGAAGCTGTTATCTTGATCTAACACCAAATTCTCGTTACCATTTAAAAGGAGATGTTTAGCAGCTAAAGGAGAGGTCTAACATCCAGACCTTGGGAGTTTATGTGTTATAATCAAGGAAGGACGTATAATTTTCTCAGATATTACAATTGTTTGGTGGCAAAGCGCACAGTACCAGTACTTCTCACATCAAAGACCTCGTTAAACTTATGCGGATCAAGGATCATTCGTAAAAATTGAGACCCGAAAATATTTCATGCTTTTACGAATTGAGATGATATTCCGTTTGAAAAAGTTTCTTTTTCCCATCAACGGAAAGGAGTTTTACGAGTCGTGGTATAGAAAAGGATGACGAAAAGTGTGTGTCCTAAAGGATGAAACATATGAAGTACTTGAAAAGGTTCAGAAACCAAGCCGGGGTTTTTTTAAAACTCTCCCTCACCCTGGTCTGTATCAAAATTTATCAGGTTAGAAAGAGCTTCGTTTTTTGTTCTTCATCTGTCTACAGGGTCAAAATTTGCAACAGTTGACGAGGGAAGGATATCGTTACATAAAACTTGTTTTTAGTTCCCCCGCAGCCCCCCGCCCGCTCTCCCCTTCCCTGCCCCACCCTCCCCTCCCGCTCACTTCTCTCATTAGACTCGAATTGTGAGCCCAGAATCATATTTAATAACTAAAAAATTAATAAACTATGATAAACCACAACATCCTATAGTTATATTGATATCGACGCTAACAAGAAAAGCCTAGATCTATCACAAATACGCTGAAGAAAGAGGTAAACTTAATCTCAATTTTTCGCCTTCTTTTTTTTGTTTCTTTTCTTTTTCCGTGGTTTGATGGCCTCTCTTTCCTTAGAGTTGAACCCCTTCCGAAAAAAAAATTTCTTAACAAGCGATCGAACATCACAGCCGTTTACAAACATGAAATTAAACTGATTGGAAAATACATCAGTCTTAAATAAACCTGCATGGGAGTTTTGCTTTTTTTACAGAGAAGACGAGAAAATAAAAGATGCAATTTGAGAGCCATGCTTCGGTCCATTAAAATGACAACAAGCAGTCAGCTGCCGCCGCTGCTTTGGAACACAATGAAACTCAATGGGACTTAGACAACGTTAAAATTTTTGTAAAACTTCATTTATCAAAGAGACGAGAAAACAAAACAGCCGGGGAATATTTTCCGGGGCTATTTTTTTCCTTTTCCGCGGTAGATATTTCTTATCGTTTAATTTTCTTCCATAGCGTTATCAATCTATGAATATTTAACTCTTACATAAAAATACCTGCTATCTCGAGATTTAACAAGAGAGCTCCTACCGAAGAAAAAGATTATTTTCCTGATGACCGGTTTGCTTATTTTCCGTACATTTTACGTAGTTGAAAACAAATGATAAGCGTTTTTCAAATGACTCGCTGTCCCAACGAAGAGGTTGCGGAGAATGCGCCCAAACCAAACAGACAAGTGGGAAAAAAACAAAATCAACGGACAGTGTGAACTAGTGACTGGCTGGTGAAAATTGGGGTAAATATCAGGGCGGAGCGAATCAATTTAGCAAATGTAAATCATACATGTTTCCTGTGCATATACTCGGATTATTAAATTTGCTCAAAAATACATTATCATGTTTATTTTAGCGCGAAACTTGTTTTGAAGCAATTTTTCATGTTTAGTGACAAGAACAAAGTCGAGAAACGTACCGCAGTGCTTTTAAATGTTTATCCAGCGACATTTTAAAATAATAACCAACCTCAGCCAAAATGACACCTTGTACTTTCTGTTTTTTAATGTTTCCACAATCCCTGAATTTTGAATTTTGTAGTAGTGTCGATAAGGACGAGTGAAGAGGCGTTTGACTCTTCAACATTTCCTTCCAAGGAGTGGCAATAAAGGAACTTCTCCCTACAAATATCAATAAACTTTATAGCAGATAAGAGGTGATACAAAACATATATATATTTGATTCATACATATTAAACCGGTGGATATTGTTCGATTTCGCAGAAAATTCGCAGATAATTTCCTTGTACAATATTTAGGTCTTGGGAAAAGCTTAGTCACAATATTATAGCGTCATAGAGATGTTTAAATTACATAAAAAATCTTAAAATAAACTGAGAACGTGGACAGTTAAGAATGCAGAAGGCTGGAATGGACGGCAATGACAAACTGTAGCAAATGATAAATTTCTCAAGATGGAATTATCCTGTTGTACGTCGCACTAGAATAATTTCTTGTCATTTCTAGGAATCTAAAATCAAAGCGCTTATTTACGGTAGATCCAAAAAACTGGTGGCGAAACACTTTACACTTAAGGCGCCCAGGTGTCTCGGGAAAGCAGCGCGGAAGAAAGCCTTAGTTTTCGCTTCTTGTTGCATGTATTTACCGAAAAAAAGATGGCCACGTTTTAAAATTATTTTTGAAAACGTTCTTTTCCTCTTAAGTTCTAAAACTAATACCGTACTCCTCCTTTTGAAAATGCACTAAAATTCTAATTTGTTTTTCTTGTGATTTTTTTTTTGTTTCTTACGGAAGTGTTAAATAATTCAGAAATGTTATATTTTCTTTGTGTTCTCTGTTTTTCATTTAATTAACACTTTACCAAAGCAAACTCGTCAATCGTGAAAGGAATCTAAAGTCTTCCAGACCGGCAACGTGTTATTATCCTGTTCTTCAAACGAGGCAGCTTAAATTCTGAATCTATGACAGTTATCAATCATATAAATTATCCTTAAGTTTCTCTTTCGCTTCAAATGTTTCTTACCGCAGTGATCAATAATTCAAAAACATTATTTTGTGTCTATCCGCTGGTCATTTAATTAACACTTTTCAAACGCAGTAAGCCAATCATTGATGATATCTATAGCCGTCCTGGTCGGTAACGTGTTATTACGTTGTACACAACGAGGAAAGTTAATTCTGCAGGAATAACAATTGCTGAATCAGTTAAGACATCTTCTAAGGTTGTCCGGCCACCCTCACATGAAAAGCCAACAAGAAAAGCTTTTCCCGCGAAGGCGTTACTTTGGTAAGGAAATAATCTTTTTACAGTTTTATTTCTATCAGTGGATTTATTCGAAATTCTTTAATTACTTTTAACATTCTTCGCTTGAAAGAAATGCGGACCCCTCGTAATTTTTTTTTAATTACAAAAATCGCCATTGTGGACGTCGTGGTCTTGTAATCAACACTTCAAGAAAGTAAACTGACCAATAGCTATAGTTAAACGAATCTGGAGCTTTTCCGATCAGTAAGGTGTTATTTTCTTATTTGTGCAGCAAGGTAGATTAACGCTCACTAATTGAAAATCACAGATTCTTAAGTTTAAGTCATCCTCGGGGGCTGTATTTCATCAGATGGCACGTTATCAGGAAATGGTGTTTCCACAAGGGCCATTTTTAGCCATTGCAACGGCTCTGTACAGTTTTATATCTTTTGGTGGATTCATTGGAAATTTGTTGATTATCGTAACGATCCTTCGCTGGAAAGAAATGCGAACTCCGTGTAATTTTTTAATCATGAACATCGCCATTGCCGATCTCGCTGTTGCCTTTGTAGCAGCGCCTTTGCGCATTTTGGAAATTTATTATCACTGGCCTTTTGGAGAGTTTATGTGCAAGTTTTTGACCCCACTTCAGGATGTGTTTGTTTGTGTTTCCGTTGTTACTCACACGACCATAGCTTTGGAGAGATACAGAGCAATTGTGAAACCCATGATGAAAAAAATAACATTGACTGTTACTAGAGCCGTGATTTGTGTCACTTGGTTTAGCTGTTATTTCGCCACAGCTCTACCCATTGCAGTCATCTCTGGCATACAACCGTACAACGGCAAAATGTTCTGCGTAATCAACTTTCCGTCGACAACATTTCGTCAATTCTTTCAAGTCTACCTGGTTGTCGTTTTCATTGTTTTGCCTATAAGCGTTCAAATCTGGGCGTATGTTTGCATGGGCCAAAAAGTAAGCGAAAATATTTTTCTCCGTTTCGCGGCTCAGGAAAGCAAAGGTGATGCACTCGAAGATGACAATCATAAAACTGACCAGGTGAAAAATATTCCACATGATCGACGAGAAACTCTTCGATGGCAAAAGAGATCCTTCGACCTGGCCCGCGATAAACGAAGAAACAGTCTTGTTAGGACCCTCATCATACTGGTTGTTGTTTTTCAAGTTTGTTATATTCCGCGTGGGATATTGATGACTATACGAGAATTTAGTGATCTCTCTGATAGTCGGGTATTCATGTACATGGATGTGTTTGCATTGATACTATATTATATGAAGCATGTCCTCAATCCGTTGATTATATTTGCCAGTAGCAGCGATTTTAGATCGCATTTGAGAAAAACATGATTATAGTTTATCATATATTCTCGCACGTGTAGGATTCAGGTTTGACGCTTCATATGACCAATGCAAATATGCCGCAGCTAAACCTGGGGAATGCCAAGTTTTACAATCCACCAAATTTCTTTGCTCGCGCGCGACTGGTCTAGACGCATCGTGTATCCGAAAATTCCTCAGCTAAAACAGGGAAATATTCCAGAATGTACTCCACGTGATATTCCTCAATTTTCAAACCTTACGTCCATTACGATAAGTCTTCGTTTAAAATCTAGTCGGCAAGACGAGAGAGCATTTTGTGTTTGTTACAGAAGAGGGACATGTTTCTTTTTTCATTAAGTCGTACCTGTTTTTTCATTAAGTCTGAAAAGTTACCATCCCACGCAGCAAAGAGTAAGGTGTTAGTGAAATTTTCCCCCGTGCGTTAATTGCAAAATATTTAAAGGATAATGAACACAATAGCCTCCATTTGATGCGAAAATGTGGTTACGTATTTGTCCTTGGACATTATTCACTCCTCGAAGCTCACTGACTTGAGCTGCGCTTTCCGGGAAACTTTCCTTTCTCAAAACGAACAATGTCCGCTAAGTAATAACCAAGTAAATTTGGCGTAAGTGGGGGCTTTAGTTGAGCTGAACAGTTGAGCTATGAATAGAAAAGAAAACTCAGTCACTGAAAAGTCGACACAAATCTTGTAAATGACCAGCTTTGGCTTAAAAGTCTTGAAATGGTGCGAAAAGCCAATCACAGCGCTAGAACCCAAACTTGGAGAAGGATAGGCCGTTGGTAATACCATGAAGATTTTTATGTGAACATGTAGACGAGCTGAACGCTAGAGTAGTAGTCGCACCACTGGATTGTCATCACGTTTCCTCACGGTCAGTGCTATATTAATTGCAAGAAGTTGAGGAATTGCATATTTACTGTCCGTCATAGTTTTTACGAAGAACATTAAAACTGCTCTTATAAGCCAATATCAGTGGAATGTCCAAGATTCCGTAATGTCTCCAATTTCACTTCATAGCCTGTCTTTCCTCTTTTTTGTCTGTCTCCAAGCTTCGGGTAACTACGATTAACGTAGTCTATTTACAAAAAAAAACCCGACTTTGCAAAGCCATTTAGTAAAGAGCACCGATTACAGTGAACGTCCAAAGTATCTCAGATATATTATTGCCATTACTGCTGTTTATTATCGTTATCATTATGATAATTTGGCATTTTTTGAAATCGCAGGACATACCTATAACGTTTTGCTCAAACCAAGACGAGATGAAGAGAATAACGTGAATATCGACGCCATCGATGATGCAGAAGATACAACTAGCTTTGCCTGAAATACACTGTTATAATTACTTTACGACCATTTTCCTCCGAAAGACCTTTGTCCTGGTCTAGGTGAAATAAATTTCTGTGCGATGGTAAACTTCGAAACAGCGAAGAGTATAGTTCAAAGAAAAGTTCAAATTGCAAGTTGTCGTTTTTGGCAAGGAATTTTGATGCAAATCATTGCAAAAATGCGCAAACTTGATCTAGAACCATTGCTTTGGTTACAACACAATAGCCATTTCCATCCCATACAATAAGAAAATAAACGCAGTTCAGCGACCTTTATAACAAGAACTCTGTCATCCATAAAATGTAAAGCTTCGTTTCACAAACTAGGCCTGTTTTTTCATTTGTTTGGTGAACCAGATTAAAAGAAATGAGAATCCTATCTCTCAAGTTTTGATCAAACAATTTGGATTTAGTTTTATGAAAGAAAAGGATTCACGAAAGGTTTTCGCATCGACACAATTATGACCATCGTACAGTGCAAGTCAAATAAGAGAACTCGAACTGATTGAGAAAACACGGGACTTGCACAATTAGGAAAGGTTATGTGTTTCTTACTAGTGACGAAATCTTCCAAGGATCATTTGCTATGACAAAAAGATAAGATGAAGAGCACTGCTAATAAAATCCAATAATAAAACAGGTTTTTGTCACAACAGCTGGTAATTTAAATCAGCTCAAGTATTGACTTAATGGTATACCGTAATTAACTCATCAAAACAACAACCGTTGAGAAGGGAGTTTAAATACCTTGTTAAAAGCTTTCATAATGCACAGGTCCTTTGGTGTGTCGAGTATCTAACCTACTTGTTGCATGGGGAATTAACGAGGCGCCAAACAGACTCTCGCAAACTAAGTTTGCATAACTAATTATAAAATAATGCTCTCCCAATTAGGCAATAACAACAACCATATATGAAAAGTCTTTAGAAGTAGTTGTTATTGAAAGATATGATAATTAATCTTGTTTTGTTTTGAATGTCGCTCATTTTGACCAATAATTCTGACCATCTGTTTAAGGATTAAGGCGTTAATGCACTTTGATGTGAAAGGTTTTTTCTATCCTGAATAGAAATTGATCTCGTGCAACAAGAAGTTAAATGAAAGGGGAGACTTTTGTAGCCATTAAATTATTTGTTTTCTCTGTGTAGCCTCAACTCTGACATAAAACTAATAAACCGTCAAGATATTTAAGAACAACTAACTAAACTAACTAACTAAACTTTCTTTATTACATCAGCCCTAAAAATGATCCTTGTAAGTTGTAAAATAATAATAAGGAAATTAATTTAAAGAAGAAAAAACACGGACGGGTCATTTAAGTCTTTGCTTCATTCGTAAAAGTTCCCAGAATCATTGATTTCAAAGAAAAAAGCTCCCGAGAGTAACAATATTACATGTACAAACATCAGAGCAGGTGTTTTATAAAGCACAAGAATTTCTCAAATTTTTACTTCAACACATTTCAAGTATCTTGGACGTCAAACTAAGTGTGAGCGAGGCTTGCTCTTTCTCGATGTAACATCTCCCCTCGTTCTTGGTCCACTTTTATGGATGATACCAACAAAAGTTAATTTGAAATATAAATGTTCGGATATCTTCATCATTTTGTTTGAGGAACATAAAAACAATAAATGAATATTTTTTTTATTGCATGCAAAATTGTTCCTGTTATTCAACTATGAACACCCGTGATTTGATTCAATATCATACCTTCCTTTTTTCGCAGTGATAGAATTTAACGGCAAATCCATTCTCCACTTATTGCGCAAGGTTTCTATAGCATGTTAATTTATGTTTATCGGAGCGGAATCGTTGCGTGTTCCTCACCGCATTAATATTTGCGCGATAGACCCAAAGGGCGTTTTTTGTTTAATTACCTGACAATATTCCGCACAATAACACTACTTTTTAAGTTTCTGCTCAGTTCCTTATAACGTCATTCAAGGTCATAAAGGAGAGAAGTTTGCAATGAGAGACAGATTAGCGTAGACTAGGCCGAGAGCGGATTCCCGATATCATTATGGAAATTTTCCGTCGAATTCTACCAAAACTGTTGAGCTGACCGGCCTTGAGAATGTAGATAATTACTATCGAAAATACTGTTTAATTTCAAATTTTCCAGACTGAATGACTAGTTAACAGAGAAATGAATGATGCTAGTTAGTTGACCAATCATTGCGAGTACAGTTATTCTTTCAGCAAATTCAAGTAGTAAGGCTGAAATTTCAGCCCAATTTTGCCCTTGTTCTCTAAAATATGATTAACATTAGGAACTCTTTTTCTGTCATAGATTACAATAATACCTCGTTTATTCCTATGAGGTTCTTATAACAGCTACTTCATTGCAGTCAGAGGAGAACTTAAAATAACACTACAAACTACATCATTTTACTGATAAACGAACACGCATCGAACGAATTACAAGGCTTTTTTGAGTTGTCGTTTAGTTAGTACAAACCGCTTTTAAAGTGTGTAGTGCCTACTGATGTACTACAAGAATTCCATGTTACTCCAGCTTAATCCGTCTGGGAAAACAAAAAACCATAACAACAGCAAAAATTTGTAGGCGCCGCATTAAATCTTCAAGCGGCGTCTAAATATTTTTTCCTTTATTTCTGCTGCATTGTTCAGCTCAAGGTGACAAAGACTAGAGTAATTGAATGTTCGAGTTTAAAAGTTTTCTATTTTTGTTTTGATTGATTGAATTTTTTGTTGGTTTTTTTTTTTTTTCAATTTTCACCACAATTAGGAATGCAAAAATGGCATGCATCTTTTCCCAGTTCGGGAGAAAAAGACAGATTACTTTCAACAGCATAATCGAAACTCGCTGCTTGTGCTCCAAAGAATAACAGGGTTTATCATATGTTTGATATAATAAGCGAAAAGAGAAATTACGTCGGAATACCAGTAAAACTGGTTTTCCTCCATCGCTTCGTCGCCTTCAAATTCTCTTATCAGCATCAACACACCTCGAGGAATTGAACAACACTGGAAAACTGCTACAAGAGACACCAAGACTTTGACCAAGCGAATCTTTTTCTTGCTTCGTTCAAGGATATCTTTCCTGATCGAGTTCTTCTTGGTAAGTCGGTCCAGTTCACGGTTGGCAACCATGAACACGTTTACGTAACACCATGACTGGATGAATAAAGGTACTGCGATGAACACTATTACGAGGTAAAATTCGTACACGCGGCGGACTTCATCGGATGGGAACTCCGGAATGCAGTATACTTTCCCGTCGGGTTCTTGATAGAGATCAAGCATAACAGCTTGAGGTAAAGCGGCGCTTATATAGCAGGCTAACCAAATGACAGCTACCGTGATCTTTGCCATCTTCCAGCTCATTCGCTCTTTAAACGGCTGCACGATTGCGCGGTATCTCTCCAAAGCGATGGCTGTGTGCGTCATCACCGAAACACTGACGAAGAGTTCTTGAATGGAAGCGAGGAAATTGCACATGAAACTGCCAAAAGGCCAACCGATGTAATTCTCAATAATCCGCTGAGGGGCAGCAATGAGAGCCATGCCAAGATCGGCCACAGCGATGCTGAGGATCAACGAATAACATGGGGCTCTTAACTGCTGGCGACCGATGATCGCGATCACGATCAGTAAGTTCCCTGGAAAACCAGTGGCTATTACAAACGAAAAAAGTACTGTGGGTAATACTGCTGGCTGGTCTTCGGAATTCGTCGAGTTACTGTCGGGTAAAGACGAATTCACATCCATGCTGGGGTCCCGCTCTGCGTTTCAAACACTGAAACAACTGGGCTTTCAATCGCACTGTTCTTCAATGCTCAAAGACGAACAGCTTCGCGTTTTCGTGGCGGAAACTATTCACAACAGTGTCGTCAATTCATCAACAAAAGATTGAATAGAAAGCGATTGAAATCGATCTTTTAAATGCGTAAATTCATTGTAATGCTCCGATAAACGACTTCCGAGTTTTTGCGGCGATAGTCTGTTTTCTTGCCGACGCGAAATAACAATCTTAGGCACATTATCAGGCGCACGCAGAGAGCGTCAAATTTTTCAAAAATCAATGTCAATATGCTGGATGGATTTAATAATTTCAAATTCCAAACAGTAGATCTACCGGTTTATGAAATTGAAAACGAAAATACGTCGGCGGAATAATTACTTTGTGAGATCATTGTTATTGTGAGGAGAACAATTACTTCGCGATTTGCCTAAAAGCTTTTTCCGTGACTTCCATTGTTTTGAAAGCAGGAGGCTGTTTAGATGGGTGAACCATCGTGGAGGAGATCTCACCGTTGCTAACGAAAAAAAGAACGCAGCCCATTAGGTTATTACTAGCTTGGAGACTGCAAAAAAAAAATGTGGTGATCTGCAAATGCAATGAAGGTTAATAGCAGCAAAAATAATCTTAATGAGTTTTAGGTACCTTATTTTGTACAATCCACTTTAAAAATCTTTGACACTTCAGGGTTGGAGATAGATTACAGAAACAGTTGAATTAAATTTTCAGCTTGATCACGCAAAGAACATAAATAAAATTTCATGCACTAGACATTTATTCATTTACGCCGCGAATCCCAGCAGGTTGTCATTTTAACCACTTGATTTTGTATTCCAATAAAGTAATCAGCTTGTTTAAAATTTAATATAACAAACGATGCCAGCGGATTTAAAACCTTACCTCTCACATATATGACAGAAGTTTAGAATTTAAACTGCGACCCCAAACCCTTGGATGTGTTGCTGAAAAAGAAAGATGAAATTCAACTTGAATGATTTTTTATCGAAATTTAAAACGAATCGTTGCTAAGCTGCTCGGTAAAACTAAGCCATGAAAACTAATTTACTTAGTTCCGTCATATACATAAAATATTAGGTATTCAGTCATCAGTATATTATGTGTGAATGTTAAGTTTAGAGAATCAAAGAATACGTTGTAAGGACGTCCGAAATGATTGGAAAATTTTTTTTATGAAACATTTTGGCACACGTGCGCGTATATCATGCTGAAACCTGTCGACCTTGATCTTTTGGGGTGTTTTTATATCTCTTCAAAATACAAAGGGAATTAAATCAATGAATTTTTTCATTTAATTCTTCAACCATTGCACGTATATTTTCAATTATTTCCCAGTGACTGTGACTGACGAAAGAATCGCTAACCCCCTGTGCCCACTGAATCCCCCTTATCGGATAAAAACGCTTACTCAGGAAATTGCTTTAGGAATAAACAAAATTGGAATATAGGAAAAAGAAAAATTCTAAGAAAGATTTGTACTTCAAATCCGAAAAAAAAAAACAGATCAAAGGCTCTTGTTCATTCCAAGAAATTTAAATTTCCTAAAATAGATGTGAAATGGTTGATAAGTCGCAAAGAATGTCCCAACTTAAATGATTCAATTTTGTTTTACTTCCTATTGTTTGTTTGCAAACACGTTTTAAAGCCAGTTCTGTATCAGTAGTAGTCGTGCTTTTACCTTTTTTCACTAGTATACAAGAATTCGAAGTGATCCGAATGACCCGCCATGGGGAAAAAAAGCACTAAGGTTAACGCACGGGCACGCGCGCGTGTCATGCATGACACGGCACGCTAAGCGAGTTACAAATTTGCAAATATGCGCATATTTATTAGGCAAAACAAGGACAGACAAGATTAGGTGTTTGGGTTTGTGTTTCAAACAGTGTGCTATATGACACAAACATATCCACTAAAAAGGTGACCAGAGGAGACAAGCATATCAGCTAGAGACCCTTAATACCAAATTCTCCGATAATTTAAAGAAAATGTAAAGCACCTGAAAGGAAAAAAATCAAGAAAACGGATTGTGATAATGACCGTTGCGCGTCTAAAGCCAAATCAGTCAGCCACCATACGAGATTGTTCCAAAGTCTTTGATTGCAGGTTTTCCCAAACCACTGAACCCGATTATAACGTGGTTCTTTTTTGTTACACAGTAATAATCATTCATAATCTTTCATTAATTTTAATTTTAGTTGCTTTTTCTGTGATTTTCCGAGAGTGATTGGGTTGTGTAATCAATCAGTTGAAGCCTCATCACTTAAAGTGCAATTTTACCTCGGGGTTTGTCGGTGCAGCTTTGGATTGTAAAAATATCACAGTGGTGACCAATATAGAAACTAGAATCCCTGCTATGCAATCGGCAAAGACAAAATGAAACAACCAGAAAATAAATTAATAAATTGTAAGAAAAATTATAAAAATCGGGATGTATGCATTTGCGTTTGCAAAATGGCTGGACATATTTTCTTCGTTCATACACCCTCTCAAAAACGGTGTGAAACGAATCTAGTTTTGTTTTTTTTTCTTATTCCCCAGTATTTTGTATGCCTGTTTATTTTCTTATATATATTACAATGAACCTTATTTGATTCTGATAACGGGGGGTTTGGAGATATTTTTAGAAAAAAAATCTCTTAACGTTTCGGTAAAATTGTGACACCAAATTAACGACATAACATCAATCACGGCTAAATGGTAGCTCTTTGCTAGCTTGGCTACTATTTATTTTATAAAAACTTCTGAAATTCCAGTTCACCTGAGTTGCCGCTTTGCTGTTCACAATCAGGGCATCACCGACTTCGAGACTTCGGAAAATAATTCTCACCTGAACCTTTGTTTTACTAGTCTTTACTTCAATAAATCTCTTATCATAACCAAAAAATTGGCGATATTTAGACGCCTTCTTAGTATTTTCATAGCAGCACTACCAAGTTCTTGAATGATGATGATAAAAAGTCGACAAAAGTGCATTTAAAAAAAATCACTGATCTTGATAAGAAGCGAGATGGTGTGCGATTCGCCTTTGTATGCTTTTCCATTCATTGTTGAGTTCTTACCATTTTCCCCTGGCTTTGAACTGTACAATGAGGAGGCCATCGTGGAACGAAAGTTTTCGGCACCTAGGTCTCCACAAACAAAACACAGATGACAAATATAGGCGCGCTTTTGTACCAAGTTTAACTTTCTACGAAGCGCTCGAAAACCGCCTAGAGAAATTGGTGTTATGTACTATATGTACCACTGATTTTAAAATAAATTAAACCCAAATAAATTGGTGGAAATATCTACTTAATCGAAATGTATTGTCTATATCTATACAATACTCAACTAAAAATTACCGCTCCAAACACGAAAAGGCCAAATAGAGCAAAGTAAGATCCGGTTTTTGAGGAATATTTAAATACGATGAAGTCGTTATCAGTGTTCTATTTCGACCTGAGTTTACGGATTAATTACGCTCGAAAACAAGAAGTACGCTCTTTTCAGTTGATTAGTTGCTGCAATATTTCTGTTATTTCGATACGAATGAGTGTGCACAACATTCAACACCCACTATCGGACATTTAAATTTTGATGTCTTCCTGATCAGTAGAGGCTTTCATTTGCAAACACTGACGTTGTAAACAAGTCTTCTTCTTATCTTTTGTAGCCGTATCGACATCTACATGAAATAAAAATGCAGACTTGTTCTGTGGCACTTTGCAATAATCGTCTCACTTTGTTATGCTTGTCGTAGCTTCTCGGCACGCACTTTGTAATAAAAAAGTTGTGGCTCTATGTAGAGACCACTTTGTAAAAAAAACAAAAAAAACAAACTGTCACTCTTTGTAATAAACTTGGTATAGACGGTCGGAGAGCACGAAGACCCAATACTAGCCATCATCCTTGCCAATGATAATAAAAGTAACAAGAGTAATAATGTACATGAAAACATTACGGGCTTCTGATCGGCTAAAAACGAGTGCATTCTCATGTCACACGAGTCCAAAGTTATAAAACAGTGCAAACTGCAAATCGCGCGCGCACGCTTCAAAATTTGGTCCGTTCTGACTTTGATGTTTTTTCGTATACATTATTAACAAGTACTTACATGATTTCTCTCGCAATTTGATGTCACAAGCACTTGAAAACTTTTCAAAAACTACAAATTGCACTTGCCCCTACAGGCTTGTGCAATTTTATTGTCTTTGGAAAATTTACTCATGCTTATTAACACCAAATTGCGCTCGAAATTATCGGTTAATACCCATACAAAGTGCGACAGGTCCTACAAAGTGCGACAATTTTATTACAAAGCGCGACAGAGCACTGTACCAGCTGGTGAAAAAACTGAAATTACAGCATAGCTACCCAAGATCAACTTAACCTAGAGCTACTATAACTGTTTTTCAAAGCAGACGGAGAGAGCAGTTACTAGAACAAAAAATTATCTTTCAAATCGGAAGTCATAATTCCCAAGGTATCCTTCAACTAATTTATTCTTGTTTCTCGTTCTCGTGTTCCCGTGTACTCCATTTTCTGCAGATAAACACACACACAACCCACAATACCTCCATTCGCTCGGACGAAGGGCTAACGCCCGAAACATCAGCTTTGAAACACTTTACGGTGGCCAATTTATGTTATCAACTCAGTTGATAACACTAAACTACCCTTAATTATAAGATCCTTGATTTGCCCAGTTTCCGATTACTTTAGATTGAAATCACCATAATTTTCCGTCATTCTGCAGATAGTATCAAATTTTCCGAGAACAGACGGTTCACTTTATTTACGCCTCTTTATCCACGCCTCTTGTGAGTAACGTTTCATTTGACGAAAGTTTTCTACGTTAGTCAATTTTAGGTCAACTGTATGTATAGTCCAGTTTCTGGCCATCATTACCGCTGTGGGAAGAAAATCGGGATGCCAGCTCACAGATGCACTTCAAATCATTTTCTCTTTATTTCTTCGCAAAGATATTTAGCGACCGTATTTTAGACACTCGAAGCAAAACCATTTCTGCGGGGTGAGGGGACAAGCAACATCCCTGAAGTGGGTCGTGTTTGGTAATCGCTGTTTGTGCACTCTTTCTCTATATCACCACATCACAAATTAATTTGGAAATTATGCAATCAGTTCATAAAAATTCTCCAAATTAGGTTTTGAGCAATGAACTTTTTATTGACCGGAAAATTATCACTCAGATCAAAGTTTAATTGTTGCTAATATCTCTCTTCTTAGACTAGATAACAGAGATAAACTAGTCTATGAGAACGGTTCGCTGCGCATTTTCATCTTTAATCTAACATTCCGCCTCTCTTATATTTCCAACTGAGTGTGTTAGTGTAGGTAAGAGCATGACTTGTAGTGATATTTGGCAATAACACCGTGAATAATATTAAAAATTTTCCAAAATACCACGGGCCGCCAGGCGGTGAGTGGTATTTTTGACAATTTTGAAATATTACGAGCCGGTGTTATTGAAAAATACCACGTACAGGTCATGCTATTATTTTTTAATAGTAGAAGCCAACACATTTTCGGTAACGCCCAAGATAATTTTATTTCGTTACGGTTACAAAAACGAACAAAGGCGTCTGCATCCGTAAAAATCTTTTTAAATCGATGAACAAAAAAAATGGACAGTTTTTTGTGTGAAAACAGTACAAACCAATGAAGGCAAATAACATGAAATATTTTAATGAAAGAAATTTTTACATCACGGTTTTTGTAGTAACTGCAGCGGTGAAGCGAAACCACAAATTCGGTTTGCTACAAGCAAGCTTTTTAATTGCTGCTCTATTAATAAACACCGACACCAGCTTTGTAATTTAACGTCACCTGACCATGAAAGTGGTGGACTACTGTTTGGCAGGCTGGAGTCGCTGTATGGTTGCGCTGAATGGGCAAACTACAATCGCTTTTGCGAATTTCGGGAAAGAATCGAGAGGGACGATTCGTCCTGTTCTTTAACTTCGTATTTGACAATGTCATCGTTAAGACCCTTGCTTTCTGCCCACGACTTCCCAAAATCCAATCCAGTCGTTTTGATTGAATTTTTGTTTATTGCTTTTTACGGCGAGCTTTTGTATTTCCTCACCGGTGATTTCCCGGAATCTTACCGGCAATTTTTTTGAATACAAAAGCAAAGACGTAATTGTGTTCAGTATTGTCATGGAAACCTTGTTCTATCATTCATTCTTGCTGTTATACCGTTATTACACTGAAATAATGATACTGTCAACCAATCAAATCTCCCAAATTTCTCGATTTACATTATAATATGCGGTAAGGTGTGAAAGGAAATACATAAATATCAGCAGCAGAACTTTACCTCAACTCGATAACATTACTTAGTCCTCTGCAGTTTCTTTGCCCAAAAGCTTGCCAAAACTATCCATCGGTTGCTGAGATATTCAGATTTCTTTCGGAATACTCCACTGTGAGGAAATTGAAATAACCAAAGAAATATATGGGCGGAAACATTTTGGCCCATAACGTATAACGACCGGAAACTGGGCAACACACTGTAAAATTAAGGTATCGGATTTATGTCTGTCTTCACTAAATTTTTTTTATTTGTTAACGTCGCTGAGTTAGTTACTCGTCACGGAGAATAGATATAAAGCGAAGGGCTTTTTGAAGGCAGAAAATTTATTGAGTGACGCATGCCCAATTCATCACACTAAACGTAATCAATATGCCGCGGTCAAGAAATCATAAATAAATAAAGAAAGAAAGAAATTAGCATTGACCATGGTCGCTCTATGTTGTCACCGTGTTTATGTTGGATAAATCATTTTTAAACTGTTTGATTTAATACAATTATGGTTTTACTAATTCATAATACGATAAACCACCAAAGGGAGAGAAAGAATATATAGCAATGATAGTGTTAGTGTTAACAATAATCATTCATCTATCTCCGTTGAGCAAAGTTTGAATTGAAGTGAAATTTAAAACGCAACACAAACCATGATGTAAGCGCGTAGAGAGGGCGGAGAGCTGTAAAATAAAAGTTTTATCATAAATTAAAAGACGGATTGTTGCAGGCCCTAGTCGGAAATCATACTCACTTATTCCTTTGTCAGCTAACGGCAGCCCGTACAAAACATGCCTTTCAGAATTTGCTCACCGCAGCTAATTTTCTATGTTTACGATCGTCATTTCCTTTAACTGACTCTGGTAAATAATAAAGGCCAAGAATTCTGATTCGCCGCTTTTCTGTTGATTAACAGATAGCCTGAATAGGGGAGGAAATGGAACCAGGTGGATTGAACACACAGTGGCTAAGTTTCTCGTAAGATCGGCAACTTAGCGTTTCAAACACCAATCACTCATGAGGATTATGAACCTACTCTGAAGCAACGTGTTTCGGATAGTCAAACTGGAAAATCTTGTGAGGTGGGCGTAGTACCGTAGGATAACTTGAACAAAAGCATTCACTAAAGACAGAGGGAGAAAAAAAAGCATTTTAAATTGATTTTGTTTCTACGTGTTAAACCAAAAGATAAACTTCACCGCCCTTTTTAGATAAGCTGTTATTCGTCGTCCTACCAGAAGTTAGCGTAATTATAACCGCAGACGAAGCAAGTATATTAGGTAAGTAACTTTGAGAACGATTTCAAAACACTTTAATTGAACCTCTTTAAAGAAATTGTGGGGGAGGTTTCTTTTTCTTAGAGCTTTATGCAATTTAGGGCAAAGTGCAAATATTTAAACGAATGATGCCCCTGACGTCAGTCTGCTTTTTTGTATATTAGCGGTTCGGTCTTTTATGGGTTTTACCGCAGCTGTTTATTTAGACAGCGGCGAAAAAACGATAAAAAATGGTTTTTAAAGATTTTATATCTTTTCCTTAGTAATTTTTTATGACAACATAATTTTGTTATAAGGAGGTAAGAAATAGCGGTCGAAGATCATGAACCATTTTTTCATATAATATAGCTTTGCACAGGTTTCGCAAAAGCGTCCGTCTTGAAGACTGCCGGAAACTTCTTCCGCATCAGCAACCCCTTATGGGGTCGAGCTTGATTTTTTCTTATTTCACATGACGCTAGCCGATTTCTGTCCGCTGCAACGTTCTTTCCGCTGTTCAATTTTCTTTTCTATATTGACATCAGATTGCGTTTTTTAAAGCATGGTTAATCGTTACAAAGATTACCAAGGCTAGCGTCTCCAAAAACTGATTAATATTCTTGCGTATAAATGTTTCCTACTGCTGTGTTTCAAAACGTTCGCTTGGTAGGGTTCCGGCGAAGAAATTTTGAATATTACCGAGGGCAAAATTACCGTGAGAAAAACAGGAATTCCTCATTTAAAGATTGTGTTCGTGGAGAAGAGTTTGAGTTTTAATTACACATGAATATTTCAGTTTGACACAAGTACCAATTTTAATTTTGTCTTATGGCAGGATTTTTTGGAAAACAAAACGAGCTCGTAAATTAATGATACGCCGAAGTCATTGAAAGCTTGAACGAAGCGACCTAATCGTTTAAATAATATATGGCATCCTCGCCTTTAAGAAACTCCAGCACCGAAGTTTCGCTTCCAAATCGAACCATGGAGCATCAAGGAAATGACAGCAGTGTACGAGGGCATCAAGGTGAACTCTTCGACCCTCTAACGTACAAAATTATGGTCATCACGTTCTTTTCTGTGATCTTTGCGTTTGGTTTTCTCGGCAATGTGTCAGTGCTTGGAACGATTTTAAAATTGAAACAATTAAGAAATCCTTGTGGCTTTTTAATTGGCACTATCGCTTTGGCGGACCTAGGTGTCGCCTTAATAGCTGCTCCCTTAAGAATTGCTGAATTGTACCTTCAGGGATGGCCATTCGGAGATGCACTTTGTAGACTTATCGTCCCACTTCAAGATGTGTTGGTGTGCGTTTCGGTGGTGACTCATTCAACAATCGCTTGGGAGAGGTATAGAGCCACTGTAACTCCGTTCAAGCCCCTGCTATCAGCGACGAAGATCAAATTTGTCATCTTGGGAATATGGGTATCTTGCTACGTCTTCAGCGGACTGCCACTGGTGATTCCGCTGAAGTTGCAGCACTTTAAGGGAGCTCTGCATTGCCTTCCAGCTTGGTCCGACCTTTATCGCAGAATATATGAAATCTATCTGGTGCTGGTGTTCATCGTGGCTCAGCTTCTCATTCAGAGTTATGCCTATGTGAGCGTCATCCGAACCCTCAGGAAAAAGAGTGATATACTTCAGATAGCCGAAAAAGATCGGAAAATCTCAACGGCTTCAGGCGCGTCGATTCCGTTTAACTCGAGCGCCCCGTGCGCCGCAATGGTCGCGCGGATGAAACGGAAGCGAAAGCTGGTGAAAATGCTTCTGGTTTTGGTGATAGCTTTTCAGATTTGTCACCTTCCGCGAGGAGTTACGATGTTGTATCGAGAATTCGCTGATCCTTCACTAATTACTCCTACGTTTTATTACATCGATCTTGTAGCTTTGGCGCTATACTATCTCAAACACGTTATAAACCCACTAATTTTGTTCTCGATGAGTGGAGACTTTAGAAGTGGAATCGAAATAATTCTCGGCTGTTGTAAAAAGAGAGAGCGAAGTGAAAGTGACACCGAATCGACAAAACTTGTTACAAGGCGTTTAGAGGACACACCACCACTCGAGAGAGGAGTGAACATTTTAGAGACAACAGTCTAAAATCAAACTTTCTCGACGTAGTGTTAGCGACAAAAACAAAATTAAGAAACAAGAAAAATTTAAAATTCTATTCTATTCAAAATTCGAAATGCGAATGAAACCATTCGCGATGGAAATTGACCAATACTCGCTTCCTAGTCTAAATTATGGTTTTATTGACATGAAAAGTTTTATTAACTTGATTTAAAGAAAACTTTAATTCCTCCATGGCATAATATATTATAACAAACTGTTCAAAGACAAATGATTTCTACAATTTTCAAAGTTATGTAAGACCATTATCAAAAGCCATATTTAATTTCGTTTATGTAAAGAAGTTTGAAGTCGGACAAGAAGTTTGAGTGAAAAATTAATAGCTTGAAGGAAGTGTGTTCCGGTTAAATTGTGGTGAATTAATTAAGTGCTCACCTGTTTGTTGAAAGCCGCTGCAAAGCGGGGGTGGGAAGATAATTAGCGGATAAGACAGAACAATAAAGAGAAATGACATTGTTTACAATACAGGTTGTCTAAAATTTGAATGGTGACCATTAATCTCGCTGATTCACCATTGATAAGAGGTGCACTTCAATTGATTTTTCACGTGGTTTGTTGCTAATGGATGTCACTTGCATGACACAGTCAAGCAGGCTAAATCAATTTGTTGACTTGTTCCGCAAAAACCGCAGAAAGCTGGGGTGGTGTGTTGTCATGTTAGACGTATACAAAATGGGAAATTAAAAGAAAACCCATAGCTGATAAACTTTGTATTCGAAAAGTCTTGAGTTTCCTTTTCCCTCGTTCTGTTTCCTTTAACCCCCCCTTCTTTTTTTTTTTTGGGGGGGGGGGGTGAGACAGCGGTTATTTCTGAAATTTACCTTTGAAATGTGCAGGGTGCTCGGATGGCTGGAGCTGATCCATTTGCGCATGCCTTTCGCTCGATCGCTGTCTGGGTACCGTTTATCGAGTCTCATCGCGTTCATTCCTACTGCACATCACTTACGACAGTCGGAAGCGTCTATACAGTTGAAAGACCTGCAGGTGGTCTGTCACGATTGTGCAAGTTGCACGAACAAACAGCACCACCATAATATTATACACAGTATGCTCGTTTGCTAAATTCGCTCCTAACTTCTACACGACATGCTATGCTAAATCTAGGTCATCTTTGACTGATTATAATGCAGTGTCCTCTACACATTTCACATAAAAGCTGAATTGTTTCGAGATTCTTGTGGCAATTCTATCTATTAATAATTGATGTCAAACGATTTGGTTTTGTCTACAAAGCCTCAGGGCAGAGGAGTTTTAATTTAGTTAGACTTTGAATCTTGCAAATATCCCAGACTGATTTGAGACCCCCTGGAGCTAAACGCCGAAAATCAGCCATGACGGCGCAAAAAATTCAAAGGAATAAAATAATTTAGAAGCGGGATAATGTGATCGCCTTAATGGGTCCAATCGTTTCTAAAATCATGGGTATATATCGCAATAATCCTGGCGATCATAAAGAAAGTAGTCCGGAGTCCTCATGCAAAAGAATGCAAAGTTCGCTGGGGTTAAGTTTTCAGCGTCAATCAGGGACATTTCATGGGGCTGCCACGCACAAGAAATGGAATTAAGACTATAACGAGCTTTGAATGAAACTATTAAGCCCCTGAGAGATTCAAGTTGCTGCAAGTGCACTCTAACGCCATACATGTGATCATAAAAAAAAACTACTTTGTTAGCGCAAAGTGTTAACATATTAAACAAAGAAAATGCGTCTCATTGCGCTGTCCATGCTCTATTGTTACCCTTAACGATTGCAGAATTACGGATTAGAAAAATTAGAGCGCCATAGCATGACGACCGCGATAATCTGGAGGAAAAATTTAGTGAATTGTTTGCCCAGAAGACTGAAGTTATTGAAAGGTCTAATGCGTTATGTAATAGGACTTTCATCTGACATAAACTTCCTTCCTCGCTAAATTCAGACAGACAATCTCAGATTTATTCTTTTTCACCTCTGGGTTTTAGTTTTCTAACTTTTAAGAGTTCAAACTTTGATTCTGGTATTAGTTTACAACTTAATTTCGACCGCAATCGCCACCACATAAAAAGGCATTTTGCGGAAAAGAGAAGGAAACCAAAAACCATGGAATCAAATCGTATCCGGCACTAAGCGGCAGCCATCCGAATCGAACATGTCACTCCACATATAGCTCAAAACAGCTAAGGAAACACCATCCCGAGTTGTTTTAAATGTTTTTAACCATTGTTTTTTCGATGAAAAACAGTATCTGTTTGATTATAATAAATGGTTGCATTTCTTTGTCAAGTGTTGCTCGCTAAGTCAAGTTTTCGAAGTAACCTTTAACCATTCATAAAAAAAAATTAAATCGTTGACGAAAAGTTTCTGTCAGTCTTAAAAACACCCACGTGCAAAAGGTCACGAGCTTTTAAGAATGATCTCTTCTGCCGCATGCAAAGATATCAACGGCAAAAAATTTGAAGACAGCTCCAGCGTTGGAAGTCTCTGCTTGATGCAAAAAGAATGATCGGATTCAAGACGTGTTTTAAGTAATAGATTATAAGAATCACAAGATCAGCATATTTGAAGCTGGTCCAGTCCACGCTTTCTATGCCAAACTCATAGAACATAAGCATCACCGCTCGAGGAATATAACAAACTTGAAACGCAAACACCATAATCGCTAGAGTTTTGATAACACGTCGGCGCTTTTGGTATTGTATCGCGCGAGACAGTATATTTCGGTCTAACGCCATGGCACACATCGGCGTCAATCTGTTTTGTAGTGCCTTCATGATCCTAAAGTATGCCATAGTTTGTATGACAAGGGGAACGGCGATGAACAATGTCACTAAATATACTTGGTATATCGGGCGATAGAGTTCAAATGGCCATTGTGGATAACACCGATCCAAACCGTCGATCTCTTGAACCTTTAAAACGGGGGCTATCGGAAGCGCAGAAGCTACGTAGCACGCCGGCCATATCGCGAAGATAACGAGCTTGGTGTTTCGAAGTGATAAACGCGTTTTTAAGGGTCGCACAATGGCACGGAACCTTTCCAGGGCGATAGTCGTGTGCGTGACAACCGATACAGTAACAAACATTTCGAGAAGAGGAAGCAGGACGCTGCATAGAAAGTTTCCAAACGGCCATCCCACAAACGCTTCGATGATCCTCAGAGGTGCTCCTAAGGAAGCAACTGCCAGATCGCCCACAGCTATGTTCACGATGAGGAGATTGCAAGGTGTCCTCATTTCTGGCCAGCGATACACGGTAAAGACAATGATAGAGTTGAGCAGGACCCCAAAAAAGATCACACCCGAAAAGAGAATAGCCAAGGCGGTGTTATACGTTTGTTCGTACGAATCCACGTCAAATCCAATTGTCGGCGTTGGCAATGATTGCGCTGACGTTTTCTCTGGAGAGGGGGAGGAAATATTCCACAAGACGGTCGAAGTGGGTGAAGCCATCGTCTTCTTCGGGCTAAACTGTTTTCAATCCTGAATTATCTTTTTATCTAGAAGTCAATGATGGCCAGTGAACTCAATTAGGCTGATTTGCAGTGGTGGCATATTTCATCAAACAAACATGATACTCTGCTTAATGACACATGGCGGCATAATTCGCCACAGCCAGCAGCAGTAAACCATATGAAAAACAAACACCCTGTGTTATTATTATGATTCTCTAAGAGCTCATTTTCATTTTATCATGAACAGAAAATATGATACGTTTTACATGCCACGAATACCGTCACTTCTCCATAAATTTTTCCCAGCGTGGGGGGGGCCGTCAGTTTGCCTGACGAACTCATTTAGATTTACCTTTCAAAAAAAATTTGTCGTGCAAATTTGGCTAACTTTCCACCCAAGTCTTTTATCCATGCTTTTGAAGGTCAGTTATAAAACTTTTTCCTCCCCACTAAGTTCGTCTCCTCTATTGCGACAATGTTTCCTTAAAAGAATGGCAAAACTCATTTCCTTTTCCGCCAGAATCTGTACTGTTTTTAGTAACTACATAGTAAACAAATACTAAGCCTCCCTCCCCTCTTAAAACCACACTCAAGACACCACTCCCCCCTCCCTTATAATATAACAATTCGCCAAGGTCAAGTGTAACTAAACATGCTGGAACACTTCTCACCTCAAAATACGTGGCTACGTGTTCAATTTACTATGAGGATCCAAGTGCATACCAGCCCAGATTTATTTCAATTGACGCAATAATAAACAACTTAGAAAACCTTATTAGCACGGCTCTTAGTGTTTTTTTTTTTTTTCTTTTTTGCCTCAAAAGGTTTCTCCATGGGTATGTTCGTTCAGACCCGGAAATACCTTAAATTATACACGATTGTAAAATAATCTTTGATGGCAAATGGTTAAATGATGTTGAATGCGCAAACTTTCGGGGCCACAGCAAAAGGATTGCAGTCAGAGGAGGAGCAAAACAAGAATCTTATCGACAGGTCAAGATTCCTATCAAAACTTAAATATAAGTCTCGTAATCTTTCGTGTTTCTTGACAACGATGCATGTCGAGCTGGTTTTAGTGTTGACGTTCCTTAGCAGTAAAAGCGGTTTATACCCCAAAATCTAGCCCAAACCAGCTCGCTTATAAGTGGATTTATGCCATTTAGTCTTTACTTTGTATGTTCTGGCCCAAGAGCAGCAGAAAATCTCTTAATTAAAAGGATAAGTCCTTGTCAGGCTTTATCTTTTGGTCTGAGGTCACTTAGTGCATTCACCCAACAGTAAATAGCGATTTTGTCTGCGTGCTCAGAGTGAAATCTATTCAAGAAAGAGAGAGGGAGTGGTCAAAAGAGCTAGAAATAGTCCTAACAGTTTTAACTCAGGATCAAATTAAAAAAGAAAAAGATAGCCACGAAAACGATATCGGATAAGCTATGATTAGCTTTAATTTCGCATCAAGCCCGATATGATTTATCACCGTTTTGACTGTGAATAGTGAGTTCAAATTCCTAAACCACATATTTTCCCAATCTATCCGAAGCCTGCTAAGAATTGGTGATCATTTTCCCTGCGGGAAACTAATTGGCCCCTGCCATACTGAAGTTCGTGAGTTTGGAGTTACCATTCGTTAATCAATCATATTTGTTGTTAGCATTCAGAAATGTTTCCATGGAATGTCACCGATAGTAACCATGGAAAGCAGAGCTTTGCGGGATCGGAATCAAATGTAAACATAGGCATGCGTAGCATGCAAGTTTTTTTCTTGGCCGGGTGGGTTGAGGTGGGACAGTGTGTACTTAATGTTTTCATTTTTGTCATCGAAAAGGGCACAAGTTTCAAAAACGAAAATATCTAAGAAGGGCAGAAAAAAACCTAATTTATCTGAACTCACACAGATATTATGTGGTCTACTGTCTCTATTGCCTAAATATTTCTACAGAAAAATTAAATGCATCGGTGCCACGCTTACTGTTGTCTTCTTCGCAGCCGTTTGGTCTCGTTACACAACGCCCTCTATTTTGAAAGAGAGCGCGTTGCGTGACGAGACCAAATAATTATTGCGAAAAGAGACTACGCCTGATGCCGTTTCTCCAACAGAGAGAAAATCAAAATTATTCGTCTACAGTTTACCTCAAAAATATAACCCCACGTAAAGCAAACTGAAACTCTGTTGCACCTCTAACAGACCCCAATGAAAGATATATTGCGATCTTGAATAAATGAAGATACATTGAGCAAGAGAAAAATATTTCAAAGAGGGCTCCTTGATTGGTTTTTCCCTATCTGGACTTTGCCCTCTGAGTGTGAAATACGTGATGAAATGCAGGTTGTTATTAGAAGGAATTAACACGCAATTGGGTTAAGTACAAGCTAACTTAAAGAAACCTTAATTGGCAGAAAAAGTCAAATGCGGGAGAGTTGCGTGGACAATTCAATATCAGCAGCATTTAGCTCCATGTGAATTTTTTCAGTGGGGTTGGACAATGCAGTTAGAATACATGATAAAATGCAGGTAGTTTACAAGGAAATGACACGTGATAGAGCGAAGTATTATGTGGCAAAACGGAATTTGATTGGTGGAATACAATTCAAGCACGTGAAAAAATACCTAATGTTCATGTGGTGCAATGATTAAGTATGTTCTGATTGGACTTTAAAAGCTGTTTTCATGGTAGGTGATGGAATTTAAGTTGTTTGGTGTGTACGTTGTGGGTAAAGGAACGGAAAAAATACGTTCTAACTTAAAAGATTTAAATGCGAACCTTTCATATCCAGATAAATCTTGACCCGAGTCGACGAGGCTTTCGCGAAAGCCACAAACCATTACACTTAACATATGAGCCCAAAATTTCGGATTAATGTCATTCTTTGTGCACAGCCTCCTGATCCAGGACATCATTTACAAGAAAACAATACCCAAACGCTGTGATTGTAGCAAGATATCCAGATGCTGTGATAAGAATGGTGCGAGATACATACACCAATGCGGCAATCTGATTGGAATGAGATACATACCCTAATGCGGTGATTTGATTGGTGCGAGCAACATACCGCTGTATACGCTAACATAGAGTTATTTTCTTTTTGAAAAAAAAAAAAAAAAAAAAAAAAAAACTCCAAAGGGTTGGCTAGGATAACCCACTTAAGTTCACTTTGGTGAGCTAATTAGAGCCTTAAGGGCGAATCCAATCCAAATGTTCAATTTTTTACGCTGACATTTGATCTAATACTAAGTAGCTAGAAGGTAATTGCCACGACATAACATCCACGAAAGGAAACCCAGACAGGGCTAGGGCGGGCAAACCCGCTGAGAACAATAACAAGGAATGCCTTACAAGGCACGTACAACGGCAATTGGAAGACTCAAGGTCAAAAAAAAATATATGTCGGGTTGTCTTCTTATTCAGTGGGTCAAGCACGAGGTTACATTACAGCTGCCATGTGCTGACCATTGATCATTTGTCTTAAGATACGAATCCACCCGACATTGAGTAGAAGCCAAATGTATGTACAAAACAAATAAAAACAGCAAATACACCGAGTTATTCATCACTTTGTGATCCTGACAAACAAAACAAAACAAAGAAAACATGCTCTATGACAATGAAAAGCACCAGAAATCTCCAGCTCGACCCCAGGGTTTCATTAGGCCGCAGAAAAACAATAAGGTACTCAACGTCTGTTTAATGAAAAGAGATAAAAAAAAGATTTCCCGTTTACACAGTATTAAACTTCCTATTTACCTCAATGTTGTATGAACTCTCACACGATGTTTTCATCGCTATTTTTCCAGAAACGGGTGTATGTAAACTAAGTGCCGCTCTCGCTAAGAGGAGATCTCTCCACTTTCCGTTTTCTTTCATTTTTTGCCTATGAAAAGGGTTTAAGACACATGTATCAAAAATAGTTTAGTTGTTCTCCAATTCTCTTTTTTTGCGTCGCCTCAAGCCAAAAATGATTTTTGGCTAGACCACCCGTGTGGAAAGTAATCGAAAATGTAAAGTACACAGATTTTGTCCAGCGCGTAGCGACTGTAATAATATGGCTCACGGAATTGTTACAAGTTACAAGATGTATTCAGTTAGTTCACAGACAAGATATGGAAACTTCACCTCAAATATTTTTCATACCAGCGTGATCAGAGGAGACCCTTCTCTTCGACCTTAGTTTGCACATCAAAAATTCATCAATTTGTGCGTAGTTCATGACCTGATATTTCAACGAAAATTATCGAGGAAGCGCTTCCGATCACCTTTGTTTACTTTGTAAGTCACACAAGCGCGCAAGCGTCACGATCGATCACGTTTACGCAACGTTTTAGGACAACTTGGCATCTATTCTCTATTCAGTTGTTATGAAAACCTAAAATTCTCAACGAAGAAGATAAAAGAACGAAGTTTGAACAGTCAACAGGAGATCTTGGTCAATTTGCAGAGTTATGCAAATGACACGAGCGCAATTGAGCGAGCACACGGATTTGCATTGTTTTCAATATGTTGGTGGATGAAAATTAGAGATATACCCGCGAGTTTGAGGCAATCGGTGACCTCATTGGTATATAAGCTATGTACTGATACGCCTTTTTTAGCCCGATTAACGCCTACATTTTGAGCATTCATTTTGAGAGAGGACCGCGCTTAGCGAGAGCGGCACTAAACATCTTATATCAATTTTGAAAAAATGTTGCGACTTATACCCGAAAGAAGCACTTTAGCACTTCTCCCGTCTAAATGCCTCACCTTGGAGGTAACTTATGCAAGAGAATGGGATGTTATACACGTAGAACAATCCCTAAGTGACAAGAATGTCTAATCTCATCTATTTTCAGCTAAAGAACGTGTTGGGCTAAAGACGAACCTAAAGACCTTTTTCATAAGCATAGGCAGGATTATAATTCTTTTGTGAAAGTGAAAATTAGCCCTGTTGGCCCCGCTTTTGCGAAAAAAATTTTTATTCAAACGATATCGTCCAAGCTAGGGGGGTTTATGTACACGCCCGCCATTTATGAAAGAGGTCCGTAGCGCAAATGATTTAAAATTAAAAGGAAATTAAAAATTTCACGAGAGTGACCCCCTCCTAAAACTCCCAGCGGCAAGTAAGCTTAAATAACTTTTAATTGGCAAGTTCTCACGACCTCTAAACCAACTAAATGGTGTTAGAGACGAAACTGAAGGGTGTGAAATACCCTCTAGGGGAGAGCCTAAAATATCAACGATATTTGCACAGTTAATGGATTATACACCTTTTTCCCACTGTGCCGTCGCGCCGGGAAACGTCTCAAAAATGTGGCTGAAGCTAAAGAACTGAATTACTACCTAGTGAAATATGCCGGAACAGCTTGGGTTACCTCAGCTACACGACAGAGGGCCTTTTATTCAAAAAAGAGCAGCAGTGTTGTTATTTCAAATGGTCGAAAACTAAGATCCACGCGACCACGCGACAACGGAACTTCACCACCATCATCTGGGACCTCTAGGAGGTTGCATCTACATGGTAAAAAAAAAGAAAACCTGTAGGTTATAATGAGGGAAGGAAAATAAGAAATCTGGAGTGGGTTGGCGATAAAACGAAACCCTCCTCGCTCTAAAAAAAACCAACAAAAATTTCTCGCCATTGTGTCCGCTCGGGCAACCGATCAGAACACAAGATTAGAACACAAGATTAGCTTCATTGTAACCGTGTCTGTTCTTGGAGCCGCTACCTTAGAAAGAGAGTCTCGTAAGGTTAACTCAGCGTTAGCCGTAGAACTGCAAAAAAATTAGCCGTTGGGCATAAAAATCGGCAAATTGTAGCCGTTGGTCCCGAAAAGTTAACCGTAAAATTTCTTGTGGTAACCGAAACGAAATAAATTAGCCTTAAACTGTAGAGTAAAATTGCCAAAATTTTAACTGTAAGATATAAAAGCCATCACCCCATTAAGACCCTTTCGTAAAGGTAAGGGTGCTTATCCATCAGAGCACAATTGACAAAAACCGTTGGGAACCATCATAAATAGCACACGCTTAGCTTGCGTTCTAGGCAGTTTTGCGGGTACCAGAGATTAAGAGCCACCCAAAAGCCTCACATGAACAGAGAGGGCCGGTCGTTATTTTTCGCCCGGGGGAGGGGGGGAGGGGGGATGGCAAGGCTTGATCGGATGAGTTTGGGTGTGTCACGGTAACATTTACCCTGATCCTCCTATTACGACCCCCCTTCGTCATCGACGAGAATAAAGGAAATGAACATCAACTTAAGGAGCTCTAGATTGTTTCACAAATTCTCCTTGTCAGCACATTAAGAATTGTATAGAGAACAGTATGGAGAATATGCATACTGATATTAGTATTAATTGTTACTGCACTAAGAAGATGAAAGTGCCCTTGAATCAAAAGCAACGTAAATTAGACATAAAGTCTGCAATAGTTTTTATAATTCACAATAATGGAGTGTTTATCAATAAATTGCAAATATTCGATGAAGCGATTTATAATTAAGAAGATTCCATATGTTATCGACATGTTTTCACGCGAAAACTTTGTCTCATAGTTCTGTCTGCAAATAAAAGAAAACTTTTTTCTATTGAGAGAGAAACACTTTAGACGTGCGGATTAAATACAATAGTGTAAGTGGCACAGGCCTTGAATGATTCACATACTTGCTTTAGAAATTTGTTCCTGGATTTCATTATAGCATCTAAGAGGCCCTATAGAATGCCTCATTCCATGTTTGGTGGCCAATTTAATTTGCTTAGTTTCCTTAAAAGTGGAATACCTCTCGAAAAAATTTATTCTTCACATATTTTTGTTATACACTTTATTTTTATATTCAAGCACAAGGGGGTTGGCACAACTCGAGACAGCTGTGTATAACTTTCAAAAATTCTCCTCCATCAATTTTTTAAAACGTTCGTAAAAAAAATTCGCGCGAATCGAAAACATCGCGACGGAGCTTGCAGTACTCGCGCATAAAAGCATGAGACAATATGTGTACTAGAAATCATTAGAAATGCCAGTTTTAGCCGCCATTTCCTCTGGACCTTTTCTTCACATCAGAGTACAGTCATGGCGACATTCATTCTTCGAACAATACTGAACTTACAGTGAGCAAGCCCCAGTCAAAACGCTTACCTTCATTCCCATCGGGAATTTCTCGCGATTTTCTACAAATTATCTCAACCGAAAGAAAACAAAATCAAAATATTCGATCAACGACTCGTTCTAAACCGACGCTTCTTGAAGCGATTCTGGGCCGATGCTTTCCCGTTGACTAAAGAGACTGTGATCTGGCTTTCCGACACACTCCGTCATACTGGCTACAAACGCTTTTCGAAAATCAGCGCTCATTAGAAACAAAATAACAGGATTTACAACATGTTTGCAGTAGTACAGAACTAGGCAAATTAAATCTGCATAGGCGATAGTCCGGCTGCTCCTTATAACTTCAACTGGCTGGAATTCGAGAATAACCATCAAAGTACCGCGAGGGAGATAGCAGAATTGAAAGATAACCAAACTCGTGAGCAACATCCGAATAAGACGCCGCTTATTTTTTTTCCGTCTCTCATGTTCGTCGCTGTTCTTGGAAACGATGCGAGTAGATGCCCCAAATTCTCTTTTCCTATTTAAAACAGTGATGATCTTAATGTAACAACAGGTTTGAACAGCCAGTGGAACCATTATAAAAACAAGGACTAGATACGCGATGTAACAGCGACGGAACATCTGCGAAGGCCATTGAAGCGAGCAAATTCTCCAGCCTGGCAAAACTTCGATCAGTTCCAATAAAAAGGCTTGTGGTATTCCGCTGGCGCTGTAACATCCTAACCATAAAATAGTAATGATAACTCTGGTTTTCCGCAAAGATATTTTTGGATTAAAAGGTTTGACGATAGCCCTGTATCTCTCAAGGCCAATCGTAGTATGAGTGAGAACGGACACACACACAAAAACATCTTGGATCGGCCACAGAAAGCGGCACATAAAATCTCCAAATGGCCAGGAGGTAAATATTTCCAGAATACGTAAGGGTGCCGCGATCAGCCCAACACCGAGGTCTGCGAGAGCAATATTCATGATAAAATAATTACATGGAGTTTTCATGCTTTTCTGTCGAAGGATTGTAAAAATAACCAGGCTGTTGCCGGCCAGGCTTGCAACAAGGATGGCGCTGAACAGAATAGTGGTTACCAGTCGATAAACCTTGCCAAATGAGGGTTCTTTTACAAGAGGTACTGTTTCGTAACAGTCACTTGAGTTGATGAAAGATGTTGAGTTATAGCACATTTCAGTTTCTAATGCCTCCCGACAGTCAAAACACGTCGTTGTAAATCAATCGCTTTAAAAAATAGCCTTCGATGCAATAAACTACCAAGTTCTACCAATCCACGCTGGTTATTAACGTGGCGTCGTTAAGCGAATTCTCCAGTGCAAAATTATGATCGGAAAATCGCCAGATCTCCTGCAAAGGAGTCAAAACTTAAGAAAGGTGTGAGATCAGATGTACCAGAAATGTATTATTAAGCGACTTGAAGACGTCGACGTTCCTCGCCAACAAAATACATTACAAATTGCGTCTCTTTCCTGCTACTGGCAAGAATTTTAATTAAAGCCATTGTTGAAAATCTACGGGAGCTGCAGGTGTTAACGAGTGTTGGGCGAATAACAAATGATTCCTTACCGCTCATTTTTCACACGCCATGTCCAAGGTTACAAATTTACAAGTTGACAATGCAAAAAACCCTATGGCGCTCTCAATCAGAGGAAATTAAACTGATACAATAGATTTGCAGCTTTAGCTTATGAACGCGAAGGGGAGTGAGAACCAAAAATGGGAAACAGCTTAAATAAACGGATGGATTTACTTCTTTTTTAGAATTTTCTAGATGAAAGGTTGAAATTTGAGGCGGAATTTTGACACGGATTCCTGACTTACAGCGATATCGGCTATCCTAAAAGAGTATTTAAATACTATTTCAAAGAATATAATTTTCAGATGACAGGTGCACCAGAGGCCAACAGCAAGATACGGCAAAATGACCAGTATCAGAGCTCTCTTAGTACTAAACAAATTTTTTTTTTGGACGAAAAGCAGACAGCGCCGTGTAGCATGTTGTGGGAAATAATAACATAACTAAATCTTTGAGAATACTTATGACGAGAAGATCTTCAATCTGATTCAGTAAACGCAAGAAATAAATATTCTGTACTCGCAAGACATGAAATTGTAAAGGCAATGCGAACGCAGATTTAAGTGAAAAACTTTCTGCAGCCAATCAACTAGCCAAAGACACGAGAAAACCAATATTTGGCAACCCCATAGATTATTCAAGAGCGAATGATGTTTTAACGACAAAGACGCTACATATAGACTGACATGAAAAGCAATTATCGTTTTTGCGCTTCATCTAAGAGGTAATCACTACCGCCAAAACTTTTAGAACACATATTGACGGAATATCTAAGGGATAAAGTAAAAGACTCGATTCTGTAAGCGGGCCAGGCCAACGTATCAATACAAGCAAGCACGTTTGCCGTTAACTCGTAGTAATGCATTCATCAGCGAGAAGAATATCTTGCCAAGAATGTAAAACCCGGATTGGCAGTTAATGGATAAACAAGAGTGATAGACTAACCACTTGAAATAAGTTAAACAGCATGAAAAAAATTACAGCCATCGATGGCCAATGCTTAACGTGAATTCGTTTAGGTTCATGCAACGACGGCTTACATTCTGCCTATTTTGACTTTCCGTAACACAAGACTCGAACCCTCTTCATTTATCGGATGAAATTAGTACTATCCAGTAAATTTGCAAAAGAGGCTACTTTGCAGTTAAAATCAGTTTGGAAATTTAATCCACTTGCTCTTTCGTTATCACCTGTCAGTCAACGTTTATTGAAAATAGTCACTGGATAAAACTTTCCATGAATTAACAATTAAGCGATAAGTTTCTTTCACCGTGAAAAAGTTTGTTCCTTCGATTGATACTGATGTTTCAATCCTGTATAGTGTAAAAATCGTTGGGAAGTTCCCCATTCTTTCAAAACTGACTGACTGGCTGACTGTTTACATAATATAAAATATGTATTCTTCGGAAAAGTACCGTGAACATTCATCACAAGAGCCGAAAAATAGAACATCAAACAGACAATCAACGCCTTTTCAAGCCGGCTATTGTCTTCTTAATGAACGTTTTAAGATAATTGTCCACGTGAATAAGAAAACACCGAGTTTAAAAAGCTGTGCACGTGCGTTTTAAAATTTGGTACATTCCCTGGCCGTACTCTGCAAAACATCTTTGCAAAACCCAGGATTAGCGTCCCGTGGCCCATTTCGTTTCAGCTTAAAAACTCAACGCAACCTTCATATGATATACTTAAGAGGTCTGACGTCGTTGAAAACGGCACCGGTACCGGGCTTCTCACGAGAATGGAAATTAAAGTTTTATCAACGCTTTTTTTAGGCGACGTCGTTGGGACATCTTGAAGTTTCTGACGTCTCAGTTTTAGTGCTCACAAATGAAAGAACATATTATGTAAACTATAGTGACTTGCTCTTACGACACTCCGCATCCTTAATCTACCCAGGAAAATGTAAAAGTGTACGGTTGATAAAAAGGTGGTTTAATCAGTTTCAAACTAACAATCGTGCATAGTTCAGTGCCTTTCCGGCCATAATCAACTTTGACGAAATTTAAAAGATCAAACAATATGAAAATATTAAATAAAATATCTAAAAGTTAACATAACAATGTAGCGATTACATGTTATTCAATTCGTACGCATGTGCGACACTGCCACGATTAAAGTGCTTCTTTGAAAATTGTATAAATTCTGGAACCATGTATCAACAAGCCTGTTCTGTTCTAAAATCTGTCTTTTTTGTCTCTTTTTTCGTTTCGTTTTGTTTTTACTTTTTTTTGAACACAGGAAATCCAAATTTTGATTCTTACATTAAGAACGGCTAGCTGTAAATTCTGATGTAAGCTAGTGGGTTGCCACAGTACCTCGCTATCACTTACTTTACGACTCTCTTGACCGGAAGACTAGTCGTGAGTCTGGCACGAGCGCGACCTCCGAAAGCCTCGTAAAGTCGAACAACCGCTGCTGATGAAATTGATTCTGCCTGTCAAAACAAATTTATTTATCTGTTAACCCAGGCTGTTTCTCAGTCATAACACAGTTCAATTTTAGGTCCTTATGAAAAGTCCTTTGTGTCGTTCTTCTGCGACACGCAAATTTACCTACAATGGAGGAGGGCAGGGGAACTTCAAAATATTATTTTATTGTTAAGATAGAAAGTCAATAAAGTGAGAAAGAAAAAGAAGAACGGAACGAGGATGGTTCGAAAGAAGAGGACTAAAACGGATTGCTATTTAACAACATAAGGAATTTTAACATTGAAGTTTTAGTGAAAATCAAAGGCTAACGATTACAACATTAAACAATGAACAGCAAATATTATTCAAGCTATCTTCCTCAATTTTTCATTGAAAATTAGGAGAATAAATCCAAAGAAAAATCTTCACTAAGCCACGATTTGTGGTATTCTAGCTAAGATCACGAGACGACGTAAATGAAATACAAAGCAACAGGATAGGAAATTAATTTCTTCTAGTACGTCGCACAACTTCCTTACCTTTTTCACTGTTTCCAATATCACGGCTGGATTGTCTACGTTAAAGAAGGACCTTTCCTTAATTCCTACAAAAAGGACCAAATGTCATAGAGTGTAGAAGATAGAAATAAGGAAAGAAATGGAAGTTATCAATATTCGGTATAATCAATCAATTTTCACAATTCACTGACCATAAAACCTGTTTAAGCGAAATCTCGCTGGAGTATTGCAAGTGTCCCTTTCAAACAGGTTTAATATATTGCACAATAGAGCTATTTTCAATTGAGTGGCAAAAGAAATACAAGATTGTTTTGGTTTTATTAAACTTTGCTCCATGATTGGTCCAAAAATCTCGCGCCATCCTTTCAACCAATCAAATGCAAAGCTAAAAACAATCGTACCTTGCCCCATTCGCATTTTCCCGCGCAGTCTTAGCGGCCCTAAAGCGAACAGGGTTTTTGACGACTGGATTCCAGGCACTTATTTGAACACGAATAATCTAAAAAGTTTTCACTCACTTTCACAAACAGAACCAGGTATAACGGAGATTGCCTGATTGAAGTTGTAAGCATGCTGAATAACACCAGCGCTTTGAAATGTACCTTAAGATGGAAAGAACAAGACTGAGACATTTTAAAATATTCATCAGCCTTTTAAGGTCTAAAAAGTTGACACGATCCGAAATTAACAAAGATGTATACCTGTATGAGGATAAACTGCATAAGAGAACTCATGCGATCCCATATCAGCTTCTTCATCCGGGGCTTTAGGAGCACGAAGCCTGGTAAATAAGGTCCACGATAGTAAAAATTCTGTTTCTTTGGTTATTGTTGTATAAAGTTACTCAGAAGATGAAAATTTAAGGGAACAGGTCGTAGAAAATGAGGGGGAGTAGAGAAACCTTTGTGCACTCTTAATCGATTGAAGAAGAGTCCTAAGCTGAAGTTTTTGAAGCCCGAATTTCAGTCAGAATGATGGTTTAACTGCTACTGTGATATACAGTTTGGGAATGAAGTTCAACCAGGATTAGCTTTAAACAGACTTCGAACTGGTCTGTGGAAGAAATGTTAGATGGTCATCGCATCGCGAGGAAACCATAGAAAATCACTCAGAATTTTATAAACAATAACCGAATTTTGTCGGGGTGGCACTTTCAAGCACGTTACGAGAGAACACAGTGAACTTACAGTGAGATGTACATGACGTTCCCATGAGTAGAATAGCCATATTTGCAGTTAGTCATGAGTGCCACGCCCCAGTCGTGCTCGGACAAATCCACCCACTTGTGACCACAGACCTGACACAATGTTCATAACATCAATATGTAGTCGTTACTCAATCAGCTGCAAAGCACACCGTGATATCCGAAAATTTTTGTACTGTGGTTGTCTGAATGATGTACATTACAAATTACATTAGAAAAATAATAAGTGTAGAAAATCTCCTTCGTTCTTAAATTGAAGTGACAATTTTTTGTCTTCCTCTCTCCCTTTGTATTCTTTGTGTATTCACGCGCGGCGTGATTTCACAAATCAGCCAATCACGTCAAAGTACTCTGACCATGACATTGTAAACCTGACGTGGACATTTTTCGCGTACTTTTAGTTTGTTTTCGCGGAGTTTTAGTTGTTTTTGAGCTTTCGTTTGCGTGAATTTGTTACTCCTTTGTTTGGAATTTTAAGAAGTTTCGAAGTTTTTGTTTTAGTAAAATGTTGTGGTTCACTCAACAAGTTTAATACATATTTTCTACGGAGTTTGGACTCAAGCCTCTTTTTTCGTAAATGGATTTTTTAAAATAGGTCTGCATTTAAAATCCCTTTGGCTAACAGTGCCCGACCTGATTCGGTTTCATTAACGAGATAAATTATGAATGAATTCAACTAATTTATTATTGTTTTCTCGTCACCATATTCCCACCAATAGCCACACACAACCCACAATTCCTCCATTCGCTCTGACGACGGGCTAACTTTCGAAACATCAGCTTTGAAACTCTTTACGGTGGCCAATGTACGTTATCAACTCGGTTGATAACACCAAATTACCCTATTAAACTCCCCCACTGACGCAGCACCGCAGTTTCTTCAGAAACTTACCCCCTTTATTCATTAATAAGAAGCGACTACTGATGTTGGAACTCCCATGGATGGAATACTGATCCGACATAAGTTGTCTCTCAGCACTTTGTCGAATTTTGTAATCAACACGTCCCTTCATAACGTACATTGGTATAAACAAAATTATCAGAGGGTCGAATGACCCCAATTTTAAATTGGTTCTCAAAAAAGGTTTTGTTTCTTGGCAAATAGACTCGCGGCTTAGGCGAATGGTCCGGCACTTGGTCAGACTGTGTAAGACAAACAAATTTGCTTACCTCATACTTGGCCCAGTCCCATGAAGTATTGCAATGCGTAGGCCTTTGTAAGTGGCCGAACTGAATCTCGTAAGTAGCGTTCATGGAGTGAACATCAACGGGAAATTCAACCTTAAGAAACTTTCGATTCTCGCGCCATTCAACCTGCAATGATGAAAGACATTTCCGAAAGTTTTTAAATAGAGTTCAGAAACTTCTGCTCCATCTCTCCATCATCAAACATAGACCAAACAATGTCAACCAGCTAAGTGAACAAAGTTATTTATATTATATTTATGTTATTCAGTGTTCTCAAACCCTTCGCTACCAAACCGTAAGACAGTGCAAGGCTGCACATACAGTGGTTATCGACTAATTCTGATCATCTATTTTCACGTCTTTTTGTACTTGTCTGTCAGTTTGTTTTTACAGAACCAAGTATGTCTCGCCGATCGCGCATTTTTTTGGGTTTAACTTCATCTAGCCAGAAAATGTTATTTATTCAACACATACTGATGAAATACGAACATTTTTTTCTGTTTCGAAAACATGATCTCTTCATCATGCTTACTTCAGTCCCTTCTCCTTTACCTCACTCGGCCTTCACTTAATCTCTTCAGATGCCTCAGTTTTCCCAGAGATTTACCTTTGTGTGGAATTTAACATATGGTAAGTCAGCATCCAAAGATACTGTTTGCCTCAAAGAACTGTGCTTACTAATCCTTATAGAGAACTATAAAAGAAAAAAGAAATGTTAGGAAAGCTCGTGGCTGTAGGAATTCGAAAGCTTAACGATAACAAATTGTTAGATGCACCACAATTATGATATCACAGCTTTCTCGACTGACCTCTTCTCACTCCAGGCCCCTCCTCACAAATAGGGGTTGCTCTATCACATGCTATGACCTCATTTCTCCTCCGCATCACCGACATAATATTCCTTAATTCATAGTTAATATCGTTTACGTTTAAATTTTTGTGTTCCCTTCCACAAACTCGAAAACCATAATGTTCTGAGGCAATATTGAACGCGGTCTATATCAACGTCAGCCAATCAAAATTTTAATTTGGTAGTCTAACGTCCTTTTGAAACAAACGCAAGTAAGCGCAAATAAGTAACAGCTATTATATCTACCTCGACTGAGACTCTAAGCGGCCCTTCCTCCAAGATCTTGAAGTCTTCAGAGGATGTTGGAAGTAATAGTTTCCTAATACGATTGGAAAAACAAGATATTATCAGGTATATCATTATTATCACTATAAATCCTTTTTACATGTATCATCATTTTTATTGTCATTATTATCATCAGTATTATTATTATCATTATCATTACTATTATCACTATCACTAAATTTTCATTTGAGATACGTCATCGAGGAGAGCGAGACTCGTCAGGACCATTCCGACAAAACTGAATAATTACTTGCTTGGCCCTGTTTTGTGAACATTGAGCCTTTCCCTGAACTTCTCCGAGAACAATCACCACACTTTTACTCATTCTTTACTGTAAGTATTAAAAGTCGAGGTGGTTAGAAGCGATGGATGAGACTCGGAACATAATATTTAGTCCTGTTTAACGTGGTTGCCTGTCCTTCGTTCCCATTCTCCCCCACTAACACATTACTCTTCCAGCCACCATACCACTGTCATTTTTCAGTCGTTAGCTCGTTCATTATTAAAGTTATTCGAGTATAAAAGGATCATTAAGCAAGTAGAGTAAACTAACATGGAGAGTGAGAGCATAAAATCAAATTTTGTGTAGAATAAAAATTCGGCCATTTCTTTCTCGTTTCTCTTAATTCTTAAACAAACCTCGTTTCCAAGTAATATGGCATCACATCCCAAGCATCCCAAAACAATGGAACATCGTCAAACAGGACAAACTGGTTTCCAGAATACCCTGGGCTGATCGCTTCCCTGAAAACGGTGAAGAAAAAAAATAAGTTTGTGAGGTCACTGTTATTTGTAACTTCGTGCCAAATTCCCCGGTAAACCGTTAAAATTTAATGAATGACTGAAGACACAAGCAACTGTCTTCAGTGCACTTACGACTACCTTTACCTGCCACTCGCCTTGTGTACAAGACTTCTTACCAGACCCCCTCGGACCAATTCAACTCGAATTAAATTGTTTTCCAATGTGACAGATCCCTGTGTCTGAAACATAAAATAAAAAAATCTGAACAAGACAGTTTTACCCGGGCAGCTATGCTGAATCAAAACTGGAAAGCTCACATCATCTGTCAAGTTTCATACAAGAAGACAGGCTTTTGGGGTCAAAAACTCATTTAAGGGTTGAAGTATTAAGCACGTTTTTGCTAAATGGACACACTAGGAATACAGCTAGACTCGACATGTTAACTCGCGTTTTCCTGTACTTTAGGTCGTTTGTTTTTTTTGCTGGAGATCTCATTGATCCCTGGTAATATTTACTTTTGCTCAGATAGGCCTGTGTAACAACTTCAGTTTTAGATTTACAATACAAAGTTGAAAAGGGCCTTTTTGTTCACCACAAGGACACATTCTTCTAGGATCTACAATATAGAAAACTTCTAAACTGAATTTAGCCAAACCTCGTCCAATGATACAGAAACTGGATGGAATTCATTCGTTGTTTCAACTGCGTTGGATATGCTCGTGCTTGAAACAGAAACCAATACTGAAACAAGATGAATAGTAAGCAAGATGAGTAAAACAAGCTACAGAATTTTTCAGGGGTGCAAAACAAAAAAAAACAAGAGACTAGTTAGTCATTTCCCCAAGTTCCTATAAAAGAGAGGCACTTGTGAATGGAAAGGAATAATTCCAAAGGGGAAATGTAATTACCGAACTGGTTAAAAAAAAAATTTCACAGCAAGAAGAGATCTATTTCAACGCTTGAAAGCAAATCCAATGAGGTCCCGCGGTATTCAAAAAATTGTAGAGTTATGTTGATGCTTTCCTATTCAATCAAATGGATTTGTTTCTCGTGGTAGTCTAGGGCTTTAATCCTCCGGGGTGCATCGCATTGTGTTATTCTCACCAAGGTTTTCTCCTTCCTTTGATCTCTGCGTTTTCATGGACGACTGTTCGTTTGCAGATAAGCGTTCCCACAATTCCTTAGGAATGGTTACTACTTCAGATCGAGGCCAACTGAGCGTGTTAACAAGAACTGGTTTGATCAGGCAATTTTCTTCCCCAGAGTTCAACTGTATTTTATCGAGAAGAATAAGTGCGTGAGCGCATAACGATGGCTACCTTTCTTGTTGTGTGTAGTGGGGCATTGGGTAAATAAATTCATCATAACAGAGAAATTAATATAAGAATAGAATAATTTTGCAGACAATACTGATAATACAAAGGTTTGACCGATAGTTTCCAGCTAAAGGTGCTCTTTGATCCCATCATCTGATTCGAAATTCTCCCTTAAGCTGCCATACATGTCTTTGTAAACGTTGAAAAGGCTTCGGAGCTATAACAAGATAGCAATGTTTGCCCCAGGAGGTGATACTGGGCGTGTCCAGACCCCCCTTCCCATCTGATCGATCGGATTTTTATTTCTTGTCTGACACCAAAATTCGTGCGACAGGATCTCATGTTACTCCTCAATATCAAGTACTTAAAATTCACTTATCTTGAAATATTTCTTAGCTCATTTAAGACAGAATGTGAACAAAAAAATTATATGTTTTCTGAATTCAAGTTTACATTTCCCCCCCCCCCCTCCCTTCATCCCTATCAATAAAACTCCTGGATCCACCCCTCTAATCACATCTTTGATGAATGGTGTGTTGATATTGCAAGATGAAGAGAAATCACAATGGTTAGTCACATCTGATAGTGAAAGGTTCATTTCATACCTGAGATATAACCTTTGAGCAACTGCCGTCGAAAATGCGAGCGATACTTTTAAGAATTTCTGCAAATTTTCGTTGTGAAACTAAACATTAGTAACACTGCAGACATATAATGTGGCTCATTTAAATAAAATACGAGTTTTCATTTCAGTAGAAACGTACCTCTATAATTTGCCAGAGCGTCGTCGGCTGCCTAAACATGAAGAGCGAAAGGTTTTTACATGAAGAAACTCTCTTTAGAAGCTTGATATTTTCATGTGCTTTCAGTGTAGGGAACACTAAATCCTAATTGGCATGCGCAGCAACAGTGATACGGATTTTGAATATGACATGCAGCAGTGACAAGCAGTAACACGTTATGAAGAGTTGCAAAGGGTGACTTCGACATGTCAAAGTAATGGCGACAGTGATATCTGTTCGTTATGGTGAAGAGGTTATGTGAGAATGTCAGTGACAAGCAATAGAGATCTTTAAGTGAAAGTGACCCGTGTCAGTAACTAACAAGCACATGTAACAATGACAGTGACATGTGACAGGGACCTGTGGTGGTGACACGCGTCAGTCACCCCGGGTGCGAGAGCTTAAATGACAATGACACAAAATGACACGAAAAGACCTTAAATTGTATCACTCACTTCCCTTGCTTAAGAATTACACGCCGAGAAGTTGACATTTTTACCTCTTTGATACAGCTTCCTGGTAAAATGTCATGAAACTGATTTAAAAGCATAAGTTTCCAGATCCTAAGGAATTCTTCAGCTGGATAAAATTCTGATAAACAGAGCAAAAAATAGAAGAAAAAAAGATCTCTGATCAATCGCAAAAGTAATTAAAAGTTGTATTAACTGAAATTTATCACAGACCTAGATATAAATATAACGTACATACAAAGGTTTGCAAATACCAGATATCGAAAAACAAGCGTTCAACCAGTTTTATCGGTTGTTAAAGTCTTGACATTTCCCTAACTAGGTACAACAAAAAAGAGATTTGAAATCTAATTTGAATTAATGACAGTTTCTGAGAAACTACACATCAACCCCTAGCCTGATCCCAACATTAACCCTTCGTTGCTATCAGTTGACTGTTGTTAATCTGTTGATAGATTAATTTATCGAGAAGAAAATGGACAACGCCAGTTGCTCCCAAGCAATCTATTTTTTAATTAGGAAATGAAGAAATGAAGGAAAAAAAAACTAACCCGCATTGTAACCTCCCAAAATGAAAGAAAGAGTTGCCATGAGTTCCGCGTCATGAAGAAGGAATTCACTTTGGCGATTTCCTCGTTTGATCTAAAGCAATGAATGTAAATAAAACTATTAGCACTGTTTGTTTGTTTGTTTGTTTGTATGTTTCTTTTCTTTTTTTCTTTTATCAGTTCTCACCTGCGCCTGCGTGGTGTATGTTCCTTGATGGAGTTCCAAGTACAACTCACCAACCCACGTGCACAGCTTGCCGCCGTCACGTGATTCAAGGGAATGGAAGAATTCATGAGGGTCTGACAGCTTCACCCTGAGTCAGTTAACAACGAAAATCACATCATGAACAATCAAACAGTTACAAGCTCGAACGCGTGGCTAATCGTCCTCGCGCTCGCCTTCCGCCTGCGCTTCCCTGAAAAAAAAGTGATTCCATATTGTAAGGGTATGACTTGCGCGATGTAATACTCTAGAATTAAACAGACTGAAATCTATGCAGAAGAACTATGAAATACAAATCATAGTAACTCGTACCTCGGGCAGCCATCTACATCTTCCATTCTCTTCAACATTTGTAACATATCCTCACTGCAAGGGCACAAGTTCGCATAAATTTTACGTTCGGTAATATGCTGATTTAACAGACATGAAAACATCTAATTTTTTGTTTATATTTAACCCAGGATTAGCGTTGATCAGGTCCAGGTTTATTTTCTTAAAGAGACTGCTGAATGCCGTATCTCAGGACAAGTATTGCAGCCGTAGACTTAAAAATTATTCATAAACTGGTAAAACAAAATCGTATGGCTCAGGTGTCACTCACGTGGGTCCCCCGCCGCCATCTCCATGGCCATACAACAACATACTGGCGTGAGTTTGCCCTTTGTCTTTCAGTTGCCTTACTGTCTTTAAAACCTGAAATGAAAAGAAAAACGTATCGCTCTGACTATAGAGATAAACATTTCTGACTAAAAAAAACAAACATACACCAAAAACAAATCTGATTCTGGCAATCTTCTCAAAAAGCATTGGGAAGAAATCATCACTACAATGAAATTAAAATAGATGGACCGTGAAGGGAAGAACAAGGCGGCTGTGAAGACAACCAGTTAGTATTTGAGGAGGGGGGAGTAAATTTAAAATCCATTCTTTCTCTTGGCTTCGTCTTCAAACCGGAGCTCAAACAGTAAATGATTATCTCGGCAAAGATGTAATTTAGGCCAAAATCCAAAATTGTGTGGTAAGGGACTCCAGCTGAGTCCAAAGCAATCCTTCGCATATTTGTTTAATGCGGTAAGCGTGAAGCGTGAGCAAAAGACGTGACTTATATAAGATGTATACATCACTGACTTACATCAGCAGCGTTTGCACGAGACTCGTACGTGTCTGCGGGAGGAAAGTGCGCAAGACACCTGTAAACATGAGGGAAACAAAAGAACAGTTAGATAGAATACCGGTAATTTGAAGATCACCGAGTTATTTTACCACAATTGGAAGTAATGGGGCAATCTGATTGGTGAATTTGCCCTTGTCGCTGAGGGTACAGACAACGCTGCTTGCATCAAAGAGCCACGCAACCCCTTTATCAGCTCTCAAACATGGATGACCCCAGAATTTAATTTTGACGTCGATGTTAACGGTATTCGTCATCACAGTGGTCAAAGTATTGTGGACTCACAAGCTGGCGCAGCCATACAGCCGAATGTCCACAACAAATTAAGGAGAAAATAAGGGATACATTAAGTTAAGGGGTTAGTCGTAAACGAAGAAAGTAATCCTGGTAATCCTTTCCGTCGTATAACGCGACTGGGAGTATTGCTATTGTGCTCTACCTCAGTGTACTGCTATTCAAAACCTGATTACACTTCCTCTCCCTGCCCCTCCTCCCCCCTGCCCCTCCCCCCCCTGCCCCTCCTCCCCCCTGCCCCCCCTTCCTTCACCTTGCACCAAAATTCAGCGTGCTAGCCATTAGGCAACTATGTCTCCCGCAGGTAGATGAGTTGTTTTTTGGAAGAACTGCCATCTTCCCTAACAAGATCATCATCAAAACTTTCTTTTTGTAGAAAGAGAAATACAGTTGTCGACGATGGTTCTTAGCTTCTCAAGAATCTTTTTAAAAAATTCTTTAACAGCAGAGACTTTACATAATATGACTTCGGTAGAATGTAGAAACGAGCAAAAGGGCGTGCGCACGGAAAAGAAAAGCGGGGGCCAAGCTTAGTTCTCATGACTTCCGCCGTTATTGCGCTTCCCCGCTATTTCACTCGTCTACATTGCTATAAATAGCAACGTACCTTGATCCATCAATTCCCTCCCAAAAGAACGTATGAAACTATGAAAAAAAAAATTAAGCTAGAATTTACGAGTAAGCTTATGAAATCAATACTAGACACTTCATGAACACAGTTACACCACTGACTGGAAAAAAAAAACAAACAAACAAAGTACAACAAAGCAAGAACAGAAAAAGTGAGCAAAGTTTCACTTTGGCTAACGAGCAAGGGACAGTTGGTGAAAGAAGAAAAACAAATCAAAACAAAAAAAGGTCTCTTACAGGGAATTTATTTATCAGACTCCAGCTCAGTTTCATCGTTAGAAAGTACTTCATTCCTACTCCGCGAATAATCTGCGGCAGCTGAGCAGAGTAACCAAATGTGTCTGGTAACCAGAACTGACAAGAATCAACAACAACAAAGTAAAGTGAGATAACATTAGTCACAAAAGGAGGTAACGTCAATATACTGTCTTTTCCAAGAACCAAACACTGTGCCCTAACAAGGCTTCCAATCAGGTCTTTTCCTTGCAGACCGCGGCGCGTCTTCACTACCTAGCCTACCTAAGATCCTGCTATGGACTGGGCAGTGCGTCAAACGCCCTAACTGTGAAAGAAAACTTTTTTCCTCATCATCTCTTACTAGGGAGTTGTATTTACAGAATCAAATTTCCCAGAATATAAAGGCGGGCTAATTTTCAAGTATCATTCCCCTCCGGTTTCTCTACTCGTCGGGTATTCCAATAGTATACTAAAAATATGTATAGATGTCGTTATTTATTTATCCATTATTTCACTTACGATCTATCCATTTATTTATCTACTTATTCATTTTTCTGTACATTCATTTTCTTTGTTAGTTTAATTATACCTACCTCTTGACAAACTTTCCCAAATTCTTTCCGGTGAAAATCTTGTCCAACTAAAAACTGGCGAATGAAAGATTCTCCACTCGGAATATTACCATCCTGGGATAGGCACAACAAAGAATTATATTAACCGTCACTGGGTTTGCTAGCAAGATATTGAATAACTTGACTGTCTTGTCGATGATCTGGTATTACCTCAAAGGCTTTAAATGACCTGCATACACTGACAAATAGTAGCACTCAAGAGATTTCTTACCATTTCAACCCATGTTCCACCCACAGGGATAAATTGTCCCTTGGCAACAAATAATTTAATCTCTTCAAATAAAGTCGGGTAATGGATTTTAACCCACTCCAGTTGCTGCGCCTGGGATCCAAAATATAGGACACAATCAAAGGCTGCAAAACTAAATGAGTGAAAAACTGTCCTACAGCTAACGTAACCGGAATAATGTTAAAACATTGGGGATAGAAAGACGTAAGGGATGAAGGTCTATATTCAGGCTGTAAGGAGATTTTTCATTTTCACTTTCCATCGTTATTTTTGTTGTTGTTTCAGTTTTGTTGCTAGGTCCTTCGACGGATTAAGAGTAGCCGGATAGGATTAAATGCTACTTACATCACTTACAAAACCAAGAAGGCGCTGGCACTGTAACTACACAGAAGGAGACTTGGTGTTGGCTTAAATTGAGCAGTAACTAACATATAGGTTGGAGGGGGGGGGGATGCGAAGGAGGAGGAGGATAAGAGTTAATGAGTACATTTTCAACAAAAACAAAATAAACAATTAAAAGCAAACCTGTGAACAAACAAATTTGAAGTCAGGGTATTTTTTCATCAAGCGCACAGCAGTAGCGAAACTTCGACCACACTTCCTCACTGTCTCAGCAACAGGCCACAACCATGCTGAACATAATAATAATTCATTGCTTTTAACTCAATCTACTATTACCTAAAGAACATGTTGAGCGGCATCGACGGGCAAATCAGTGTAATTTGACTATCAACTAGATATCGATAAAGATAGGTTAGCCACAGTAGCGAATTTTGCAAACTACATTTTTGAGAGTTGGTCCTATATACGTTAAGAATGGGGAAAAAAAGTAGGAAGTTAATCAAGGTTTAGTTATTTCCGATCTCCCTCTTATCCCAGTCCTGACTTCATGTCACACTACGCCTCTTAACCCTTTTCACCCCTAACATCATATGCATATTCTCTAAACTGTTCTCTAGATATTCCCTGCGTTGCCGATATGGAGAATTTGTCTAATTATCAAGAGCTTCTTTAATCGGTGATCAGCTTCTATATTCCCCTGACCTTTATGTCTGATTCAGTGGTGATATGGTAAGGAGAAATTAGATGCCAGTCACTCTCAGGGGTTAAAGGGTTAAAGTAATGAGTATATGTGTGGTACATGTAAGAGTTGCAGACAGATGAAGCAGCTTACCACAGTCAATATGGCAGTTACCGACCGCGTGAACCTGGTGCTGGGATTCACCGTTAGTTTGCTTGAAAAATCTTGTAGCGATCTCGTGAGCTCTGCATGGAACCGAGGCAACAAAAACACGAGCAAAAAGCTCATTAGAGAATGCTATTATATATTATACCTGGGAGGGCAAAAATTTGTCTTTCTCTCACAAAGAGAGCACTTTTCGCAGTTAGGTGAAAGGTCCGAGTTTGCTCTAAGTAACAACATTAACGAGACGAGTTAAACATAAAATACAAAACCTATACTGAAGGCCAAGGATTGGATGATGTCCTAACGAAATGAATTAAATAAAGATGGATAGAACCAATCATAGACTATTAAAAAAACAGATAAATTAAACATCTCTTCCACCAAATCAGTGAACTACAAGCGGTTGTAAGGCAACATCTCTTTCCTACTTTTACAGTTCTCGTTAAATGTCCTTCATGACATGTAGAGGCAGATTAGTCCGAGCGGGAAGTACTTCCTATCGTAAACTATAACGAAATGCATCTAACCTGTTTCAGACATCAGTTCGTCAGTAAAACGAAGAACAGTAGCAAACGGCACGATAGTAGTGGAGCCAAAAAGCGAGGAAGGCTTGTGTTGAGTCGCGTAAAGTTGACCCCAACCACTACCACTGCGCCGTTTATAATTTCGCTCCGTTATACTAACTGATTGCCTGGAACTGGCTAAAATGCTCCTTCACTAAAAGATAACTAGCAACACATGTAAGGAATTCTGACAAGAGACATAGAGAGGTAAAAATTTTTAATTGATGTGTAACAGTGCCTTACTACGGCTAATCAGTTACGAGTGCGTAACAGGTGTACCTGGTTTTCTTGTCAAACGTGGTTTAAAAGGGTTAACAGTTTGAAACTTGGGGAGGGGGGGGGGGACATTCCTTTGAAAACTTTTGTTGAGTATCCTCCCTCCCCCCCTGAGCATACTCTGTCTGACCATACAATAAACAACCGCGCTATACCTCTGAAGTGATCCATCATTCGACAAATTCTGGCAAGCGTTTACAATATCATTTGCTGTGTACAGAGCTTGGAAAGCTCTCGGATTCTCTTGAGAGAGATTCTGTTGGCGAAGCGAAATAAACAACGGTCAAAGTAAAATCAAACGGCGGCTAGGAAAGTTTCTACCATGGGGTAAACGAAAGATTTATCACAGGGGCACAGTGGTGGCGGATAGAACTGAGATAACAAACAATAGTTTTGTTTGTATAGTTTCGAGTCAGAATTAACAGGAATTTTAATTGATGAAGTCCAATTTTAAATCAAATAGTCACTGAAGAAGAAAAAAATTGAAACACTCTCCAAAACATTCGGCCTTTTGTTGAAGCAGACCCCATTTCTAAAGTCTCCTTGGTATTTATCTATCACAAATGACAGTATGCCTTGATTCTTTATTTTATTTTTACTGATTTAGATTTAAATAATTGAGTTTTTGCTTTTTCTTTTGCTTAAGATTAAGCACTGACAATAAGTTGATGAGCCTTAACTATGGGTTCATCACTCAGAAAAGGTGTTCTTTTATTTTTAAATGCTCAAATATATTTTTTATCGGCCAAATATACTGGATCTGAAACCTACTTAGCCCCAGGCCACTCCTCTTCTCTAGGAATCTGCTCTACATTAGCTGAACTAACTACTAAAATGTAAATTGCTGCAGTCAGTGGTTGGTCATGACTCACGTAGGACCATAACTGTTTCCCACTTGTGCCTCTGCAAACTTCCCACAAACAGCTTCATTGTATGGGACTCTTCCAGGAGCTGTGTAGTGAGTCAGGGAACTTACAGGCAGTTTCTTAGGATATAACCTGGGGAAAGAGTAAATAATCAGCTCCAGATTAAAAGTAAATTAGTGGCTATTTCCATGGTTGCTTTAATTAAAATACCTGCTCATAGACAATCAAATCTCTATGTCATATCAGAGTCAAAGATTTTATTCATTCAAACTCAAAATACATGTTTTACGTTTAAATAAATACGTCTGAGACTCTAAAGCTGTAAAGGATGATTATAAAAAAATGGATCCATGAACATTACAATAAAAGCAGTTTCCTTTCAATTATTATTGGAAATTGCGGGATTTAAGAATCACGCAAACTTCTTTCGTTTCACAAATAGTACTAAATAATTTAAACCTGGCGGTAAATCACGTAGGTCACTCAATAGAACGTCAGGATTTATTTTTTTCAATAGATCCCCATAATATATCAAATGTATAACTATATCAAGTACGGGAAGTGGTTTGACAGATACTGTAATACTTGATAACTAATCTGAAAAGCAACGAACGATGATGTAGCAGGAATGAATCTAGCAAAATACACCAACACCCATGCAGTAGATTTACCTGCTAAACAAGTTCACATCAGCGAAATATTGCGAGGAAATGAATTTTTCCGCCCTTTCTAAAGTGCATCTCCAATTCTTCCTGGCGCAGTGTTTGTCCGCCATATTGTCCACGTCGGTGATACCGAGTCACGCAAAGTCACGCAATCAAGTTCTTCATTTCCAGTCTCCCATATGAGAATTTCAGATTAAGAGCGAAAGAGACTGGTTCGGGGAAGAAGACAGCATTACGTCATATGTCTTGTGACTCTGACAGCTGTGC